ATAAAAGTGCCAGTTATTTCATCAGGAAAAATGGGCTTACTTGGGAATAGCAGAGAATTGCAATCAGAAACAACTGTGCTACCACAAAACCCATAAGCCAGTCCGCAAAACACAGGAGAGAACCACTCTTAAGGAGGAAACGGGGGTTTTGGAGAGGATGTTACACACCAAAAACCCAGTGGAGGAAACTGGGAGTTTGAAGTACAGTGGCTTTTGATTGGCTGAGTTGTGGCTGTCTCTCATTGGCTGGGCTCTTGGGGGGTGCTGCTGAAGAGGCCTTCCTCCTGCTGCTGGCATAGTAAAGCGGTAGCTAAAGTAGTAGCCAAGGGTAAGGTCTTCCTCTCTAGGGAGTCTGCAGTTGACCAGCGGTAGGGTGTGAGCACTCCCCCTGCTGGCCTCTGCACTTTTTCTAAATGGAGTTTCCTTCAATCAGTTTTCACAGAGGAAATGCCAAGGACTTTATATAAGGGGCTAGAGACACCTTTGTGCATTCTAGCTGGGGGCATAGATTGGCATAGCCAACATTAGGAGGAACCCAGCACTCCAATCAAACTAGTTATGCACACATAGTAGAAATCCTACTCTTGGATACATAAGTCCACATAATTCCCTCCATATAGAATCCCCCAAATCCTCATTCAAAGGGCCATGGATGAGGACGTTTTGTGCAGTGTTGTTTGCATTAATTGGGAACTCGACTCCACCCAAGTGTCACTCACTGGGAGCCTGGATTGTAAAATGTGGGGTTGGCATACTACTGAGTATGATGAAGCAGTGAAAAGCAAACAACTAGATCAGGAGTTCCCAAATGTTCTCACTACACGGCACACTTAGAATCTCAATAATTTTTTCATGGAGCTTGTAGGCCAAAAGTAATGGCTAACAAGTCTGTGTATTAGGTAATTAGGTCCAAACAGCTTAATATATATGTATGTTCTAACAACTTAGTAGTATCTAGGGATCCCTGGGTGGCGCAGCGGTTTGGTGCCTGCCTTTGGCCCAGGGCGCAATCCTGGAGACCCGGGATCGAATCCCACGTCGGGCTCCCAGTGCATGGAGCCTGCTTCTCCCTCTGCCTATGTCTCTGCCTCTCTCTCTCTGTGTGACTATCATAAATAATTAAAAAAAATTAAAAAAAAACTTAGTAGTATCTGAAGAAAATAATGCACATAAGTTGGAGGAGAAAATAATATTTCACTTCATTCTTAAATAACCAGAATAACTACTAAGAGGATGTGTGTGCCTGTTGAGCACTGCCCAGCTTCTCAAATGTTGGCATAGGATTGGATAATGCTGTCTTTATCTTCTATTTCACTCTGATTTCCCTGCAGTACTTGCTTCTCGCTACAACTGCTGATGCCACAGCTCTGCAAAGATAGATGACATTATACTATAAAAAAGAATGTAGCACAAGCTAATGCTGGAGCTGTGGACTACCTCAAATTAGCAGTTCACATGGCACCCTCTGGGAACCACAGAATTAGGTATACCTATGGCAATATGAATGAACCATAAAAACAGTGCCAAATTTCAGAAAGTACTGGAAAACTAAGGCCCAAGAGGCTCCACTGAGTCTGTTTTTGCTGAGATTTCAATGACCTGCCTCCTACTGCTGACCCAGGGGACAGGTTCCCATGTAGCATTTAATCCTGTTGAGCCTCTCAGAAGGGTCTTCCATCAGCTTCCACTAATCCCTTCTCTCATGATCTCTTCCTCATCTTTGACTTGTCCTTTCCAGTGCCCTTTGGTAGCCTCCATTTGTCCCCCTCTGAGCCCTTTCTGCACCAGGTAGCCCACTCCTATCGGGAGCTGATAACTCACAAATCATTGTCTTTGGTCCAGAGCTCTTTCTTGAGTGGGGGGTCACGTATCTGTCTGTTCAATGTCTCCACTCAGACATCCCTTAGGTACCTGAGACCTACTATGTCCTGACTAAGCTCCCCATCTTCCCCACTCCCCCAGCTGCTTCTCCCCTCGTGTTTCCCAACTCAGAGAATGGAACCACTCTCCATCTGGTGGTGGCCTGTGGCAGATTACATCAGTGGCCTCAGTTCCTTACCCTCCCTGCATCCACACCCTTGCCCTGGCCTCATCCCCACCATTTGACTTTGGCTGTCCCTGAGACTTTGACTGGTGGCACAGAGGAGGAAGTGCAGTATGCCAGTTCTGAACTAGGCCTTCGGAGGCCTCACATGTTTGCCATTGTCCTACCCTACCTGTCCAGGTTTGTCATTGCTTCCATGAGAATAGCATAGCATGCCTGGGGTACTCTGCTGGTCCCATGAAGGGAAGAGCAGAGCCATTCCACTGGAACCTAACCTAGATCAGCTGACACCCCCTTCCCTCCCCACTGCTGCCCTGCTGACAAGTGAGGGACACTGCAAGATTACTGTTATAAGCCACCAAGTTGGAAGGCTTAGAATAACAGTTCTAACAGTTAACCAACCACATTACCTAAACCAGAAACCTGGACATTGCCTTTGATTCCTCCCCCCTAGGCCCACATGATGCCCAGAGCTTCCCAAATATCTTAGGACTGCATTTACTAGTCTCCATCCTCAGTAGCTCTGCTCTACCTCGGGCCTCCTACAACCCCATTTTAAAAAAGATTTTATTTATTCTTTTCACAGAAAAGAGAGAGCCAATACAAGCAGGGGGAGCAGCATGCTCCCAGTGGAGCAGGGATCCTGATGCAGGGCTTGATCCCAGGACCCTAGAATCGTGACCTGAGCTAAAGGCAGAGACACCTAACCTCCGGAGCCACCCAGGTGCCCCCTGCAATCCCATTTTAACCCATTTTCCCTTCCTGCCTTTGGCCTCTATTCTTCAGACAGCATCCTCCTATTATGCAAATCTGATCACGTGACTTCTTTTCAGGGGGTTGGCTTTGCCCTCAGGCTGGGGTATCATTTAGAGCTTGGATGACCGAAGGAGCCTTGTTGAGGACTGTGGGTAGCCTGGTCACTGCGAAAAGACACCTTCCAGGCAGTTCCTGCTTCATTCCCAAGTCAGGGTAGGGGCTCTTTAATTGGTTCTGTGCAGGGAGCCAAGTTCAAGCTTGGAGCAAAATAAGCAAAAGACTAGCCTCACTCAGGCTGTGGCAGCACTTCCTTGAGGGTTCCCCATAACCATCTCTACTGCTGGGTGTGCTTTTTCAGGCTATCAACAGAGAGGACAACCTGAGAGACACTGGGAACTTGCAATTGCAATTTCTGTCTTCATTCCTTGCTGATGGGTTAAGTCATGGGGGTGTAGCTTCCTTATGTAGGCAGACTTCTAGCCTTCTCCGGCCACAGTGAAAGGGCTGTTACATCAAAAGAAAGGATGAGGGCAGCCCTGGTGGCTTAGCGGTTTAGCTCCGCCTTCAGCATAGGGCGTGATCCTGGAGACCCGGGATCAAGTCCCACATCCGGTTCCCTGCATGGAGCCAGCTTGTGTCTCTGCCTCTCTCTCTCTCTCTCTCTCATTCTCTCTATTTCTAATAAATAAATAAAATCTTAAAAAAAAAAAAAAAGAAAGAAAGAAAGGATGAGTCACCAGAATGGGGTAGGTGCCACAGGCCATAGAGAAAGGCACCCCTGGGCAAGACAAGACCTCTCTGTGAGACAACTTGAGAAGGAGCCAGCCGCCTTGGCCTTCATGAGACATTTGTGTTTTGCCTCGGGCCTTCTCACAAGACTGTCCAGAAAATTGTCTTGTTTAGTGTTCAACATGCAGATTCTGGAGTCAGACTTACTGGCATTGGGCCCAGCTCTGCCACTGATGTAGGGACCTGTGGCCACGAGGAGCATCTGGGCTCCAAGCAGCTCCAGTTCAGTAAGAGAGCCAGCTGGGTAATCAGACCACTGCCAAAAGCATGAGAGGGGCTCTGAAAAAGCACGGGAGGGGCAGGAGAGGGGCTCTTCCGCTTGGAAGGCCCTGGGAGGAGCATCTCACCCGGGAGAGCTTCTGGGAAGAAGTCAGTCCTAGGGCTGAGCATGACACACCCAGGTGGAATGTGGGGAAGAGAAGGTGTCCTGGGCTCCAGGGGGAAGGCAAGTGCGTCTGATTGTGTTTCTCATGCCCCCTTCGCCATGTCTGGCACACAGTGCACTACCCAGACTAGCTGGCCAAGTACTGAGTGCGCCTCTCTGTCCAGAACAGAGAATCTCCTGACTTTTTTTTTTTTTAAGATTTTATTTATTTATTCATGAGAGACAGACACACACACACACACACACAGAGAGAGAGAGAGAGGCAGAGACACAGGCAGAGGGAGAAGCAGGCTCCTCGCAGGGAGCCCGATGTGGGACTCGATCCCGGGCCTCCAGGATCACGCCCTGGACTGAAGGCGGCGCTTAAACCGCGGCTGCCCAGAACTCTCCTGATTTTAAATACAGAGGTGAGATGTGACACGTGTCGGAGCTGGGTAATCATTCAGATTTGCTGGCACAGGACAGGACAGGGCCCTTTGGAGCCCAGTACCTGCAGCCCCAGGTACACCTGTCTGTGACCTCCGTGCACCACCACGAGCGGACCGCGGCCTCCCTACCCAAGAGTCAGGGCGGCCGGAGAGACAGGCAGGGACAAGCCAGCTGAAAGGTGGAATACCTGGCCCAGCCGTCGGGTGCGTGCCGAGAGCCTTGCGGATGGGAGGAGGGCCGCGGGGTGCGGAGGGGGCAGCAGCGGGACCCGCGCGGTCGCTCGGCGCGGGGCGCGTCGCCGCCCCGTCCCCCCGGCAGGCGGCGCCAGAGCCAAGCCGGCGGTGACTGGGGGCGAGGGGCGGGGCGGGGCGGGGCGGGCCCGGCGTCGGCGGGCGCTGGAGCGCGGCGACACCGTCTGCGCGGGGCGGGCGGACCCTCGCGGCCATGGCGGAGCGCGGCGCCCGGCGCTGCTGCCTGGGCTGGGACTTCAGCACGCAGCAGGTGCGGCCGCGGGCCCCGGGTCCGGGTCCGGGTGGGGAGCGCGGCGGGGAGCCCCGGGCCGAGCCGCGACAGCGCCTACCCCGCCCCGGCGGCCGCGACCGGAACCGACCCCGGGCCAGGGCCCGCGCGCGGAGGGGGGCGCTGAGTGACGGGCGCCCAAGCCGGGGGAGCGCAGCCGGCACCGGTGACCCGGTCGCGGCCTGAGACCTCAGCGGGAGGGCCGCGACGTGCGCCCGGACTTTGCCCGGGTCAGCGAGCGGCACCGGCGGCCCGAGGACGCGCGGCCCAACAGAGTCCAGACGCGCCTTCAGACTGGGGGGGCGGGGGCTGCCGAGGGGCGCCCTTTCCTCACCTTGGGAAACCAGCGCAGGTGCCTCAAACCCGTCCCCGCCACGGGTCAGGGAGGCAGGCCTCGGCCCGACCCTGCCAGAAAGTCTGGGGGGACTGCACAAGGCCGGTTGCCTTGCTGGGCCTCCGCGCCATCCGTCTGGGACAGGCGCTGCTGCACCCCTGAGCCTGGAGGTCGGCTCCGTCCGGGCCTGTACGTCTCTGGACTATGATCATGGCCCGTGGGAACAGCCCAGGGGCCTTGTCTGGCCTCTCAGGCCCCTGCAGACGGGGCCCCCGGACACCTCTCCAAATGCTGCTCGTCTGTCATTCCACCCCCTGGAGGACCTACTCCCGCCTCCTTGCCAGGTTCAAGAATCAGCTCGTCTTGGAGCATCTGCTTCCAGAGGGTCTTGGCTTTGGTTGTTTAGGGGGCACAGAAAGATTTCTTGAGCTGTTTGGGTGTTTCTACTTTGCCTCAGCCTTTTCGTGTTACCGACTCTTTGGGTATGTTCCCAGATGAGGCCTCTGTAGCCATGGTTACAGTGATGCACCCCGAGCAAGGCTGAGCCACCCACTCAGGTGATGGGCCTCACCTGGTGATGTTCCTACCCCTGGACCAGTGTAGAAGCTGAGGAAAATACACCATTTTTAAAAATGCCTTCCAGGTGAAAGTTGTTGCTGTTGATGCAGAGCTGAATGTGTTCTATGAGGACAGTGTGCATTTTGACAGAGACCTTCTAGAATTTGGGTATGTACCTAGTGTATATGTGTGGTGGGGGTTGGTTTTGGGGTCCTCCCTCAACCGTTTACATTCATAAACTGCACTATTCTGGTGTGCTCTTTTTATTTATAAGAAATACATATTCGGTCATTCAGATGGTCAGAATATATTTGGTTTGGTTTTCACAGTTCCTGACTCACAGCCCCCCAAACCCTTGCAATTTCCTAAGTGTTGAGAGTCCTAAAGGTGTCTTTTGTTATGTTAATGGAATGACTTTTAGACTCTACCCAAGGGTAGGGGCTGGTTGCCAAGACCAACCATGTGATTAGAGACTTGGAATTTTCAGCTGGAGGTTGCAAGGCCAATGGCCAGTGACTTAGTCAGTCGTGACTATGTAACAAAGTCTTCATAAGAACCCAAAAAGACTGGGTTCAGAGAGCTGGGTTGGTGAACACATGGAGATTGGGCAGAGTGGCGTGCCTGGAAAGATGGAAACTCCTTGCTTTTTCCCCATACCTTGCCCTATATATCTCTTCATCTGGCTGTAGATTCCTGTCCTTTATCCTGTCTTTTAATAAACTGGTAAACCTAAGTATGTGTTTTCCCTGAGTTCTGTGAGCTGCTCAAGCGAATCAAAAGAACCTAAGACCATTGGAACCAACAATCTGTAGCTGGTTAGTCAGAAGCACAGGTAACAGCCTAGGGCTTGCACCCGGCATCTGAAGTGGGTAGGGAAGGGCAGCCTTGAAGGTCTGGACCCATAACCAGTGGAACTTGATGCTGTCTCTGGGTAGATCGTGTCAGACCATTTGCTGATGGCCCAGAATTGCTTGGTGGTATGTGTAGCAGAACCACCATCCTGTCCTATCCCCCACCACATTTGAATTGCATCCAAGAACCTAGGAGTTACTACCTGTAGATCTGGCTTCATCAAACTACAGGACTCATGGTCTTGGTAGACCTCTCAAGCACCCTTTTCTTCTGGAATGTGTTCTCCAATTCTTTCCCAATTCCATGTACTCATGCATCCATACATGCAATAGGTATCAATTGAAACTTGCTTTGGGTCAGGCATCATGCTGGGTACTGAGATTTGATGGTGAGTGGAACAGAGACATGGGTCTCTGGAGACAAAGCTCCTCCCAGAGCTTTCCATTGAATAGGGGAGACTGATATCAATCAAGGCATCTCACAAAAGAATATTTGATTATAGACTCAGAGAAGGCCATTAAAGGAAAGGAACTCCCTTCTCGAAATGTTGATTATAAAGGAACGTGACCCAGACTTGGAGGTTGGTCAGGAAGGGTCCCTAAGGAAGTAGTGCTTAAGCCAAGATATGAGTGAGTGGGATTCACCAGGTGATGGAAGGGAGAGAGCATTCCAGGCAGAAGGAGCAGAGTGTGCAAAGGCCCTGTAGGATGAAAGAGCACCGCTTATTCAGGGAATTGAAGACCAGTTTGGCTGGGGAGCAGAGAGGGTGGTGGAGGCTGGGCTCGACCACATAGGCTTTGGTACACAGTTTGCCTAAAGTCTATGAACAGCCACTGAAGGGCCATGGGGATAGGGGTAAGGTGTGAGTGACATGGTTGACACAGTTGTATTTGTGTTTTGAAAAGCTCTCTCTGGGTACAGCGGGAGAGCATTTGGGGGTTGGTCAGAGTGCATGTTGGGAGATCATGGAGGTTTTTCAAGATCATCTGGATGGGAAATGATAGTGTCTTGGAGAGGTGGGTGATGAAATTGCCAGGGCCTGGGGCAGAATTGAATGTGAGGTGTGAAGGTAAGGTTTCTGGCTGGCCTTGTGGACGGATGGTAGATTGTGGAAGAGACTTGGTTTTGGGAAGAAAGATCATAAATTTAGCTGTTGTATATTTTGTATTAGTTTGGGAGTGCTGCCAGAAAAAAAATACTACAGATTACGTGTCTTAAACAACAGAAATTTATTTTCCTACAATTCTGGAGATGCCGACAGGGTCAGGTTCCTCCGAAACCTCTTTCCTTGGTTTGCAGATGGCTGCCTTGCTGCCAGTCACCTGGTCATCCTCTGCCCATTGCATCCCTAGTGTCTCCATCATATTATTTGTTTTCTAACCTTTTACAAGGACACCAGTGATACAGGATTAGGGTCCCTAAGCGGGGAGTCTGACACAGGGCTTGATCCTGGAGTCAAAAGCAGATGCTTAACCGACTAAACCACCCAGGCGCCCCTTTTTTAGTTTCTCTTGAGACTTCTTTGACTCATGTGTTATTTAGAAAGGTATTGCTTGGGACACCTGGGTGGCTCAGTGGTTGAGGGTCGGCCTTTGGCTCAGGGCGTGATCCCAGAGGTCCGGGATCAAGTCCCACATCAGGCTCCCTGCATGGAGCCTGCTTCTCCTCCCTCTGCCTGTGTCTCTGCCTCTCTCTCTCTCTCTCTCTCTCTCTCTCTCTCTCTCTCTGTCTCTCATGAATAAATAAATAAAATCTTAAAAAAAAAAAAGAAAGATACTGCTTAATCTTCACATCTTCCAGTTACCTTTCTGTTCTGTATTTTTACTTTAATTTCACATTATAGTACGAAAACACACTTCATATAATCTCTGTTCTTTTAAATTTTTAAGTTCTGCCTCACTCTCTCTTTTGACTCAATGAGTCCATCAATCCTCTCCAGTAGGAAAAAAAAAGATATCCATACCCAAAATACAGTAGTGTTTAGTATTGCTTTTTTACCCAGTTACATTTTTAAGATCTTTCAACTGTATTCAGATCTAGTTTATTCCTCCCCCACTGTTCTTTTTACAGTTTTAATGAGATATAATTGATACACTGTGAACTGCACACATGTAATGTGTACAGCTTTGTAAGTTTTGACATAGATATTCCTTTATGAATCTATGCCCAGAATCAAGATAATAAACATTTCTATACCCCAAAAGTTTTCTCATGCCCCTTTGAGTGTATTCCTCTTCCTCACTTGAGCCCCCAGCAATCACTGATACATTTTCTATCACTATGGATTAGTTTATACTTTCTAGAATTTTATATAAAGGAAATAATAATTATATATTCTTTTTTATCTGACTTTTAAAACTTAGTATAATCATTTTGAGATTCACCTATGTTGTTATATGTATCAATAATTTGTTCTATTTTATTGCCCAGTAGTATTCCATTGTGTGAATGGACCACAATTAGTTTATCCATCATCTGATGAGGGATATTTGGATGGATTCCATTTTTTCATTATTAAAAAGAAACTGTGAAACTTACATACAAGTCTTGGTGTCAACATAAACTTTCATTTGTGTTGGAAATGAAATACTTAGGAATGGTTAAGTTGTATGGTAGGTTTTTAAAAAACTGCCATATTCTTTTCTGAAGTGGTTATTTTAACACAGATATTAAGCTTTGCATCTACTTGGTACATAATTTGAGAGGAACAAAAGGCATATTGTGAAGTCTTAATCTCTCTGTGATCTCATCTCTTCCCTCCTGCCCTCCTAACTTTCATTAGTTTTTTGTGTATCCTTCCAGTGTTTTATATCAAAACATAAGCAGATGTGAGTATCTTTATTTTCTCCCTTATTTACGCTCAAAAAGTTCATTGTACACATCATTGTGTACTTTGCTTTATTCATTTCACAATAATTGGGCTGTGTTTCCACATCAGTACATAGAGCTTCTGTGTTTGTTATTTTAGAGGGAGAGAGCATGTGCATGCATGAGCTCAAGTAGGGAGAAGGGTGGAGGGGAGGGGGAGAGAGAGAATCTTAAGCAGGCTCCCTGCTGAGCACAGAGGACCCTGAGATCATGACCTGAGCTGAAACCAAGAGTGAGTTGCCTAATGGACTGAGCCACCCAGGTGCACCCCCTGTGTTATTTTTGTAGGATGCATAGAATTCCATTGTGTAGTTGGAATTGATGGATGCTGGGTTGTTTGCAGTGAAAAATGATGTGAATTACCTAACTTATGGCATTACAGACATATGCCAATTTATTTGTGAGATAGAAGTTTGGAAATGGGGGGGGGTACCTGTGTGACTCAGTCTGTTGGGTGTCCAACTCTTGGTTTTGGCTTAGGTTGTGATCTCATGGGTCATGGGGTCAGGCCCCAACGCAGGCTTCACGCTCAGCAGGAAATCTGCTTGAAGATTCTTTCCTTCTGCCCCACCCCCACTCGAATGTGTATGCATGTGTGCTCTCTCAAATAAATAAATATTTTTTAAAAAGTTTGGAAAAAGGATTGCTGGATCAAAGAGTAAATAGATTTGTAAGTTTGGAAGGTATGGCCAGATTGGCTCCCATAGGGATTGTATTGATTTACACCCCACCAGCAATGCACGTGAGTGCCTCTTTCCCACAGCACTGCAATGCAGTGTGGTTGTTAGAAGAGTTGAACTTTTTTTCCTGTGAAGTTGTTTTTCATGACCTTTGCCCATTTTTCTCTTGGATTGATTATTTCTAGGTGTTCTTCATATATTAGAAGAATGATCTCTTTGTTGTTAAATGAATTGCAAATATGTTTCTCAGATTTTTGTTTGTTTTTGATTTGCATATGGGTGGTGGCCATACCCATATTTTGTTTGCTGGGCTCCTGACTTCTCAGCCTTTCCTGTTGCTTCCAGATTTTGAGTCACAGTTTAAAAGGCCTTCCTCATTCTGAGATTGTGAAGGGATTCACCTGTGTTTTCTTCTAGTTCTTATAAGACTTCAGTTTTCTTATGTAAAAATATTTGGAGATTATCTAGGTGCATGGCATAACGTTTATATCCAGCTTCAGTTTTTTATCAATGACTCCAATTTTTTTTTAAGATCTTAATTATTTATTTGATAGAGGGAGAGAGAGAGAGCAAGCACAAGGGGGAACGGCAGGCAGAGGGAGAGGGAGAAGCAGGTTCTCTGCAGAGCAGGGAACCCTAATAGGGACTTGATCCTGGAAACCTGGGGTCACAACCTGAGCTGAAAGCAAACCAACTGAACCACCCAGGCACCCTTCCAATTGTTTTAATGCCATTTTCCTAGAATCCTGTCTTTACCTCACTGATTTGAGACACCAACTTTATATGCTAATTTCTGTGTGTGGTTAGGTGGATTTCTGGGCATTTTCTTTTGTTACATTAGTTGGGGTCTGTTCATGAGCCAGTAATGTGTTATTTTAGTTATTCCAGCTTTATAATAAGACTTAATATCTAAAATTGTTGGTCCCCTTTGACTGTTCTACATTCAATTTCCATGGCCTTTTTTTTTTTTTGATATGTACTTTAGAATCAGCTTTTCAGGTTCCAGAAAGAAAAACTTTTAATATTTTTATTGAAATTGTGTTACATTTCTAAATTAACTTGCAGAGAATTGGCAACTTTATGAGATTGAGTCTTCTTTTTTTTTTTTTTTAGATTGAGTCTTCTTATCAAAGCACCTGTTTTGTCTTTGTATTTGTTCAAGGCTTATTTTGAATACTTCACATGTGTTTTGATATGTTTGACATGTGGATTGTGCACAGAAATGACCATAATTCCCCAGCCCTTCCTATACCCAGACACTTTGCAGTGGGGCTTGGAAGCTCCCTCAGTCAAGAGAGGGGAGTCATTTCCTTACCTGTTGATTTTAACCAGTAGAACGGGAGGAAAGTAACATCAAGCCAGTTCTAAATCTAAGCCTCCAGAAGGCCTTGCTGACTTCTGCTCTCATTCTTGGAACCCTGCCCAGCCACCACATGGCCAAGTTCAGGATGGCTTGCTGGAGAATGAGAGGCATTTACTCCCATACCCCCATCTAAGCAAGACAAGCAGCGCCGGCCCCAGAAGCAGGACCCTCTAGCTACTGTTAGCCAACCATGGATGCATGAGGCGCCCAGCTGAGCCCAGCCCAGTGACCAACAGATTTGTGAGCTAAATGAGCTTAATAGTTTCAAGTCACTTAGCTGTGAAGTGGTTTATAACAAGGCAAAACCACCTAGTACCTATAATTTATTTTAAACTTATTTCTAACTATTGTATCTTCTTATGTAAATAGTGACTTTTGTGGTGATTGACCAGCGATCTGTCAGACTTATTTCCTTCTCCCCCTGGGCATACTCCTGCCTTCTTTGTAGTTTTGTTCAGCCATGTGACTTGAGTCTGATTACCAGCAGAACATGGGAGAAAGTGAACAGGCCTCTCTATGAGACCATACAACCCCCACCCACTGTGATCCTCTGCCCTGTGTCTGGATTAGTGTCCAGGGCAGCCTTAGAAACCACTTGGAAGGGATCCCTGGGTGGCTGTGCAGTTTGGCACCTGCCTTCGGCCTAGGGCGTGATCCTGGAGTCCCGGGATTGAGTCCCGCATCAGGCTCCCTGCATGGAGCCTGCTTCTCCCTCTGCCTGTGTCTCTGCCTCTCTCCCTCTGTGTGTGTGTGTGTGTGTGTGTGTGTGTGTCTCATGAATAAATAAAATCTTTTAAAAAATAAGAGAAGAAACCATTTGGAAGATGAGAACAGCCACTGTCCCCCTGGGTCCCTGATAACTGCAGGAAACAGAACCCACTCCTCACCTGACTCTGCATTCCTGGTCCCCAGCATGCCACTGATGATGCTTTATGTGAGTGAGAAAAAAACCTTCAGCTGTGTCAAGCCATGGAAATTAACTAATACAGGGTGTCCCTCCCCACCCCCCGCCATTGTATCCTTTAAAAAAAAAGCTCTTCTTGATATTGAATTCACATATCAAAAAATTCACTCTTTTAAAATGTATACAGTTCAGTGGTTTTTAATATATTCACAGAACTGTGTCATGATCTCCACTATTTAATTTTAGAACATTTTCATCACCTCAAAAAGAAGCCCCATATTCACTAGCAGTCACTCCCTATGTCCCCTCCTCCAGTCCTGGCAACCACAATGTCGGTGGATTTGCCTATTCTGAACATTTCTTATAAATGAATTTATGTAATATGTGGTAAATTTTGACAAGTTTCTTTCACTTACAACGTTTCTAAAGTTTATATTGTAAAACATCAGGACTTCATTTCTTTCTATATTATACTCAGTAATGTTCCTCTGTATGGATGATACCACATTTTGTTTATCCATACATCAGCTACCAGATATTCCTCTTTGGCTATTATGAATAATCCTGCTATGAACATTTGTGTGTGTTATTTTTTTTAAGATTTTTTATTTATTAATTCATGAGAGACACAGAGAGGCAGAGACACAGGCAGAGGGAGAAGCAGGCTCCATGCAGGGAGCCCGATGTGGGACTGGATCCCAGGTCTCCAGGATCATGCCCTGGGCTGCAGGCGGCGCCAAACTGCTGCGCCACCGGGGCTGCCCTTTTTTTTTTTTTTTTTTTTTTTAATTAACGAGGGGGGCAGCAGAGACACAGGCAGAGGGAGAAGCAGGCTCCATGAGGGGAGCCCTATATGGGACTTGATCCTGGGACCCTGGGATCGTGACCTGAGCCAAAGGCAGATGCTCACCCACTGAGCCACCCAGGTGCCCCTCCCGAAATATTCTTTGTGCCCCTTTGTATCCCATCCTTTCCTCCCTACTGGACTTGGGAAACCACTGACCTGCTTTTTCACAATAGGTGGATTTGTACTTTCTAGCATGTTATATACATGGCATCATGTAGTGTGCACTCTTGTGTCTGGCTTCCTTCACTCAGTGTGATCATTGGAGTGTCATCTCTGTTGGTATGTGTATTAGTGGTTCACTTTTTTGTTATTCTGTAATATTCCAACACACACACACACCACAATTTATCCATTCATTCTAGGTTTCTGTTGTCACAAATAAGGCTTTTATGGAAACTTGTATACAAACCTGCCTATGAACTTACACTTTCATTTCTTTTGACGGGATAATTAGGAATAGAATGTCTGAGTCACATGGTTATCTAATAGTATCTTGCTATGGATTCTGAGTCTGCTTTTTTTTTTTTAAATTTTTTTTATGATAGTCACACACACAGAGAGAGAGAGAGAGAGAGGCAGAGACATAGGCAGAGGGAGAAGCAGGCTCCATGCACCGGGAGCCCGACGTGGGATTCGATCCTGGGTCTCCAGGATCACGCCCTGGGCCAAAGGCAGGCGCTAAACCGCTGCGCCACCCAGGGATCCCTTTTGTTTTGTTTTTGCTTCATCATTGAAAAGGTTGGGTTTTGTCAAGTGAGTTATTTGCATGAGGGTCTTATAGGGAGGACGAGAGTGGGGAGAAGGGTCCAGGCAACTTTCCAGGCTTGCAACCCAAGGACTTCCTAGTCTGATAGCCAAGAACTTTTCCTGCAGATGCAGCACCTCTGTGTAGCACATCAGTTCTACCTCTCCAAACCCAGTGGGCTTGGGAGGGTTTTAATCCAACCCTGCACTCCTGGTTTCCTCATGGCTAAGTGATGCCATGCCTGCCTTCCAGGGCGAGACCCTTATATTTTTGTTTTTGCTGATGCTTTCTGAGAATTGTCACCCCCGAGCAATTTCTCTTTCCATCTTGCCAGTACTGTTCAGTCTCACTGAGTTTAGAATTCCACCGAGCTTGGGGAAGGGACATTTCTCCCTCCACTGGAGGGATCTAGGGTCTGTCCCCATTGGGACCCTGCCCAAGGTTCTGTCCAACACTCTCTCTTGTTCTCCTTATAGGACTCAAGGTGGGGTTCATGTTCACGAGGATGGGCTGACAGTGACATCTCCAGTCCTGATGTGGGTCCAGGTAAACACAGAGATCCCTGACCCTCTCTTGTCCCCAGCCTATCTCATGGGCAGACTTGCCGATTTACTGGAAAGCCCTCTGTTGAGACCAGGTCCTCACTGAGAAATGGAGTCTGCGCGGTTTCTAGGGCTGGACTGAGCTTCAGCTGGTGTCAGTACTCTTGAGCCGAGAGGACACATGAAAGGCTTCAGGTCTGGTGCTAGAGCACTTGCAAGCCCTGCCAGTAAGTAACCATCTTCAGAATAGCACCTTTCCCAAACCTTTGCCAAGCACTGCAGGAGGCCCTGTGGCTACCCTTGTATCCTGAGATCCAGACACGGCACTGGTGTCCTAGTGTTCAGGCTCAGAAGGACCCCAAGGCAGGCCTGCCTCCTCAGGACTGACAAGAAAGGAAGATCCCTGCTGCCAATTATGGGTGACCCATGGAGCCACGGGACCAGGGGTGTGACCAGTATAGACCATCATGATGGGCCTGGGTCTACCCTGGGGGTCCCGAGACCCTGAACCTGGAAGCCAGCAAAGGCAGTGTTCATAGTGTCTGCCAAAACCGGTTCAGTCCTCCAATACCTGTTTAAGCAATTCCCTCTACTAAATTCTTTCGGTTAAGATAACTAGAGTAATTTTTAAAAGAATTTTTTTTTTTTTTAAACAACTTGATCCTGACTCATACAGGAGGATGGGGGTAAAGGACAGATTTCCACCAGACAGTCTAGCTGGGATGTACTTCATAGGGTTGAGCCATACCAAGGGGTGTGGTGGGGGTGACAGGCAAGAGCCAGTGTCTAGAGATCCCAGTGATAATGTCAGAGGTTTCTGATAGGTTGGGACCTTCACTCGGGGTGATGAGCAATGGATAGAGAGCCAGGCTTGGGAGTGGAGCCACATGATTTCTAATTGTGAGCAGCCTCCCAGCATTGGACCTCGTCTAGCTGTGCCCCACTCCCTGCTCGAGGTTTGACCAGGAGGGCCAAGTTGGCAGCCATAGCCAGGACTGTGAAAGGAGCCCTCCCAGCATAGGGTGGGGATGGCGGAGTCGGGTCAGAGCTCCAGTAGCTGCTCTGCCCTCAAGGGAAATGCAGCCTGGAATGAATCCCTAATTCCTGCCCTGAAATCTTTGGGGAGGGTCAGGCTCTGTTGGGCAGTACCATTTATCCCACACCTGGGGTCTTGCAAGAAAGAACGCACCCAGATGGTGGAGGGTGGAATGGGAATTGGGACAAATGGCCACCATCTCTACCTACTCCTTCCAGCCTGGTGCTCCTGGACACAGGGAGCCAACTCCTGGTCCCTCTCTGATGGGGGCCGTCTAGTTTGCTCTTCACTTCTCTGTTGCAGTGAAGTCATGCCACTAGTCCAGTGGGTTGAAATGCAAATAGAAAAAAAAAACACAATTTGATCCACCTTGGTTTTGCTCTTCCTGAGTGCTTGGGAGTCACAAAGTAGAGAAGCAGAATTTGAGGGCCAGTGGTTTCCGATTCCATTACCTAAACTATTTTTACCATAGTTCACCTTCTTATTTGATTGGTGCCTACTGTAATGAATTATTCTAATGCTTATACATCCCTGCCACCAGCGCTTTTTCATCCCTGGGGTAATAGCCAACACTTAGGTTTCGGTGCTGAGGCTTGTGGGTTTGTGTGACTCCGTGGTTAGGATAGTCACCGTGGCTCCGTTTGTCTTGCAGGCTTTGGATACCATCTTGGAGAGGATGAAGGCGTTGGACTTCGACTTCTCTCAAGTCCTTGCCCTATCTGGGGCAGGCCAGGTTTGTCTGTAGCAGCCTCTTTGCGCCTTGTGGGGTGGCTATGGGGTGGGGGTCCAGAGGGAGTGCTTGTTCTTGAGAGCCACTGCATACATTCTGTTGTTGGTAAAGACCCCTATGGCACTTCTGTGGAGGGTGCGTAGCTTGCCTCCTTGCTGAAGGACCCGAAGTGTCTGGTACTGTGAAGCATTATACAGAATGGGACGCTGGGTGAGGAGGAACCGGTTAGAGGTCCTCTAATGGGGTGGAGGAAGTGTTTGACGTGCATTTATGATGCCTGCTTGGGAGCACCAAAATTGTTTTTCTGTTTCCTGGAAGTAGAAGCAAAGTCAGAAATTATACTCCTGATACTGGCAGTTTTAGTAGTAGAAGTATTAGTTTTGTTTTTTTTTTTTTTAAAGATTTTATTTATTCATGATAGTCACACACACAGAGAGAGAGAGGCAGAGACACAGGCAGAGGGAGAAGCAGGCTCCATGCAGGGAGCCCGACGTGGAATTCGATCCCGGGTCTCCAGGATTGCGCCCTGGGCCAAAGGCAGGCGCCAAACCGCTGCGCCACCCAGGGATCCCCTAGTAGAAGTATTAGTAAAAATAATAACAAATGCTGACTGAGCACTTAGTGGATGCTAGATGCAGTGTCAATCGTTTTACATATATTCTTTTTTAAATCTTTTTAGAGAGAAAGCAGGCACTTGCATGAACCGGGGAAAGGGCAGAGGGAGAGGGAGAGAGGATCTCAAGCAGACCTGGCACCAGTGTGACATGGGGCTCATGACCCTGAGATCATGACCTGAGCCAAAACCAAGTCTGCTACTTAACCATCCATGCCACCCAGGCACCCCTCATTGTATACTATTTAACCTAATCGTTACAGTAATTTTATGAAGTGGTGTTGGGGCACAGTGAGCATGGGAGCTCTGTTCCCTGGCTGTGTCCCCAGGCCCACCATTTACAAGCAATGACCCAGGCACGTCATCTAGCTTTCTGGTGACTCCATGCCCTCATCTGCCATAGGGTCGATGTGAGTAGTGTTAAATACATAGAATAGTGCATAAAAACCTCTTTTAAGTTTTAGCTACACCATTGCCATTTACATAGGGACACTGAGGCACAGAGGGTGATGTCACTTACCCAAGGTCACACAGCTGCTGGGGTCAGGAGTCAGGACCCAAGTTGAGTCTTGTTCTCTGAATCAACTTTGTTCCATGCTGGGTTAGCCTGCTTTCACATCCTCGTTAGAGGACTCACTAATTTTTCCGAAGCCACCTCTTCTCTCCTATCCCCCACTGAACAGGAATTTAATGCTCCTTGTCCTTGTTAAACAGATTCCCTGGGGGATCTCATCCACTTCTCTTACCTGAACCCCAGGCTGGGACACCCTCTCCCTCCTGGGAGTCCCCCAACCCCATGGCTGGGTGTCCTAAGAACACCTCCAACTTCTCATATGCTCTGTGAATGCTCCAGCCTTCTCCAGGGTCACAATCCACCTGTCATCCCTGACCCCACGTCGAAGGGGTCCCTATGTCCTGTTGATTTGTTACATGACTCCTGAATCTACCACCTCTTCTCTAATCCTGCATCTCTTGCGCCAGGCCAAATATTTGTGATTTTTCTCTGTGCTTCTGCTTGGGCCTCCCTGCCTCTCGCATACCTGCTCCATGACTCCCCCAAACCCTTTCCTCCATTCAGCCCTGGCGTTGTCACTCCCATGCTAATCCAGAGTTCCCACGCCTCAAAGATAAGCTCCAACCTCCTGAGCACGGACCTCCAGGCCCTCCAGGCTGCCACCTCTCCCTGTAGCTCCCATACCTCCCTCCCGCTTGAAACTCTCCATTCCCCACACCTGCCAGCCTGTCTCACCTGTGGTTGCTCTCTGCATGGAGCACCCCCACACTCATCGACAGGTACCTTTCCTGCTAATCCTGTCCACTTCTACCGGCTTGTTGGATGCCCCTCCTCTGTGTCCCCACCGTCCTGCCACTGCACATCCACAGGGTTTTGTAATTGTGTGTTTGTGTCTTTTTCTCTGATTCGACTACAATATTGTAGAGAATCGGGACCACACTATCCTATTCATCCATCCCATTGCCTGGCGTGATCTAGGTTCCCAATAAATGTTGAATGAATGAATGGGTAAGCGAATGAAGGAGTGAATTTCAGATAAGATTATGAGCAAGATATTTAAATACAGTTTTACAGAGGTACCAAAATCCAGACCAATAATTCTTTCTTGGGCCTTTCCTATAAGTTTTGAGGTGGACAGGGCAGAGTTCTCATCTTCTAGAAAGGAAAACCAAGACTCATAAAAGGTGAGGAATTCTGTGACTAAGAAGGTGTTGGGGCTGGCTTGGAGCCCAGTTGTTTGGTGTGTGGTCCAGAGTCTTTCTGTGTCTTCAGGAGGTGATACCATGTGTGGCTGTGTGAACGTGTGCTTGGGTTTTCCCTTGACAGCAACATGGAAGTGTCTTCTGGAAGACTGGGGCCAGCCAGGTGCTAACAAACCTATCACCAGACCTCTTGTTACATAAGCAGCTGCAGGTAACCATGGGGAGAAGGGCCCAAGCCCCTGTGGGCACTGAAATCTGGGGCTTTTGTGCGTTGTCAAGGGTATAGGAACTTGGCTCGGGCGGTAGTGCTGTGAACATGGCCCACCCAGCCTCCCGAGGGATATACCTGGTGCCTGGACAGAGGGTCAGGTGCTGATGGCCGTCATCCGGGGTCCCTTCCTGTCTGGCACCTATCCAGTTTTTCCCTCAAGGATCTCCCCTTTGGGCACGGTGCCTCCTAGTGATGCTGGGAAGCAGGCTCTGTCTTCATGTTCCCTGGCTTCAAATGCCCCTGTGAAACTGCACTTGGCTGCAGCTCTAGCCACCCTGGCTGCCCCGCTGCCCTGCTCACCTCCAGTGTTGGCCATGGTGCTCAGGTGTCCTCATCAGAACCTTCCACCCTGAGCTTTCTGGGGAGAGACTCCACCAGGCCAGGGGGAGGTTTAGGCAGGTAGGGCTTGCTGGCTGGTCTTCCAAGGTCGCATCCAGGGAGGAGGTGCCCACACCTGCTGCGATTGGCAGCGTGACCACCAGTGCCAGGGCAGCTCCCAGAGTCAGCAGGCAGAGTTCAAGCCTGTGGCTTTCTTCTCCCTTTCCAGGCTTGTTTCTCCATCAAGGACAGCCCTGTGTGGATGGACTCCAGCACCATAGCTCAGTGCCGCCAGCTGGAGGCCGCCGTGGGCGGGGCCCAGGCTCTCAGCAGCCTCACCGGCTCCCGTGCTTATGAGGTGTGCAGTGCCTGCCAGGGGCTGGGGACTAGGGTCGGCCCCAGAGGAAGATCTGGTTCAGTTGCTGGCTCTGGTCTCTTCTCTCCAGGTGTCTGGGAGCACATAGCCCGTGACTTGCCCCAGTGGGGATCACATGATGCCCTGTGGGTGTCATCGCCCCTACCGAGCCAGGTCTGGGCCCTCTGGGCCCTGGTTCTGCTAAGGGCTTTCCTGCCTCCCTCTGCTGCCCATGAGCAAGGGCGGGCCTCCTGCTGCCCAGTAGGGAGCCGAGGCATGAATGTGACTGTGCCCTGTGCGGGTGATGGTGGCATCTTCACTTCAGCCTCTCACCTGGGGGTAAAAATAGCACTTACACTTTAGGCAGTTTTGAAGCGGAAAGGAGTCAATGTACGTAAAGTACTTAGGCAGTTCCTGGAAAAGTAAATAAATACATGAATGAAAAGAATGCCTTTTCCTGCTGGCTTCAGTCACCATTCCAGGGCTGGCTGCCCTTGGCCCCTCCTTGGGCCACCTGACATAAAAAGAATAGGGGTGGGGAACATTCTTGTGTCTCCTGCACAGGTGCCCTTGGTTCACACAGTCACTGTGCGGGATGAGGAGCAAGGCTGATCCTCTAAGGGTGTTCAGCAAACATTTCTAGATTTGAGGCCTTTATAAAGCTTTCATGGTGTTAACTAATATCCAGAGCACATGCTCTGCGAGCCTCACTTTCTGGAGATGATTGTTGCACGTAGGACTTGGGTTTTTAAGAATTTGTACTCTTTTTCCAGCGCTTTACAGGAAACCAAATTGCAAAGATTTACCAGCAGAATCCTGAGGCCTACTCACATACAGAGGTTGGTTAAATGTTCCTGTTTAAGTCACAGTTAATTTCTTTATACTACTTTCCTTTAGCATAAATACAGCTCATGTGCGTTGGCCACAAACATTGATTAGCAGATGTTAAAAAAGGTATGTATTCAGTTTGCTTATTTCTCACTGTCAGGCCATTTCCAAAGAGAAGGGAAAGAATGAAATCATGGGAAAGAGAAGTCAGTCAGGGCCTCTTCTGACCAGGTGGGGCAGAGGTCAGGGGCAGGGTGGGAGCAGTGGGGACCAGTGCCACCAGAGTAGGAGATCAGGGTGCCTTTCTGTCTGTTCAGTTTCCTGCCTGGTTAAGTGCAGGATGGCTATCAGGTACTTGATTGGTGTGGGCTCGATGTTTTCTCTGGAAATGTGGAAAGTTGAACCCATGTGTTGCCAGCTATGACCCTTCAGGCAGAGCCTGTGTTCCAGTAGCTCAGACTTGTTCTTCATCCACATTTGCTGAAAATCAACACTTAATGCCATGTGAAAGGCAGCTCCACACCGTGGCTAGTGATTTTCATCTCTGAATAATTAGAAAATGATCAGCTTATGTTAAACCAAAGTGCCTTTGTTTTTTTTTTTAAGACTTATTTATTTATTTATTTATTTATTTATTTATTTATTTATTTATTTATTTGACAGAGAAAGAAAGAGAGCACAAGCAGGGGGAGTGGCAGGCAGAGGGAGAGGGAGAAGCAGGCTCCCCACTGAACAGAGAGCCCAATGCGAGGCTCCATCCCAGGACCCTGGGATCATGACCTGAGCTGAAAGCAAACACTTAACTGACTGAATCGCTCCGGTGCCCCCCAAAGTGTCTTTTTAATCTTGGGAATAACAATATCCAATTTATTATGTGACAACTCAGAGTTCCAGATTACTTTGCATCATTAGCCATGTAGATTCCAGGGGTGGAGGGAAGGACAGAGATGACAAACCCCCTCCAGATTCTGCGTGTGGAACAAAGGTGGCCTGAGCGGGGACAGGAAGTGTTGGCATTCTCTGCAGTGGTCCAGGGGCCCTGGCACAAGGAAGCACAGACCCTCAGGGGGACATTTGAAATCCATTATCAATTCCTCCAGCTCATGCCTGGGAGCGTGTGGCTTCTGAGGGGCCAACTCTCACTTACATTTGTTCTGAACCCCTGAGAGAGTCTCTCTTGGTTCTGAATCCTGTGGCTACACATCCTACTTCCCTTGTGGCTAGATAGAAAGACCACAGAAACGGAGGATGGAAAACAGGCACCACAGTCCCTGGATTCTGGGTGGAAAAGCCACTTCCCTAAGCATGGCTTTTTCACAAGGCTTGTTTTTTCTCTTTGTCGGACTTGATAGTTTTATGCCCATATATGCCTGTCAGAAACCACAGAGTGAGGTGCTCTCCCAGGAAGGCATTTCTTGGCATTCCAGATACTCGGACACTCTGGTATCCAGGATACTCAGTCACTGCCATTGCTAAGGCATCTTGCTTGCTCAGTGTTTCCTCCCCAAGGAACTCTTCAAAACTCTTCTCGTGTTGTGCATATCACACTATTCAGTCGCTTATGGAAATGAGTCCTATCTCATTGTGTTTCTTTCTTTCACAGAGAATTTCTTTGGTCAGTAGTTTTGCTGCTTCCTTATTCCTTGGGTCTTACTCCCCTATCGACTACAGTGATGGTAAGCCTTCAGAGTCCCGGGGGGGAGAGGGGGTGCCTGTTCAGTATGCATGTGGGCTTGTGGGCAGTATAAGCCTCATCCACCTGGGGGTGGGTGCAAGTCTTAGCCCTGTCATCTTTTGCTGAGAAGGGAGTGTATTAGTTATCTTCTGCTGTGTAATGAATGACCCTAGGGCTTAGCAGCTGAAGACCACAGGTGTTTATTATCTCACAGAATTTCTGCAAGTCCATAATCTGGGAGCAGCTTAGCTACAGGCCTGTGAACAGCAGAGGGGAGCAGAGTGCAGAGCGAGAGCCCAGACCCATGAGTGAGGCTTCAGAAGAGTCTCAGAAAGTACAGAGCCTCCTGGGACCCCATCCAGAATTATTTGAGTGCTACCTTGCGCCCATATTATTCTAGCATACAGGGAGAGAAAGTAAGGTGACTAAGCGGTGGTCCCCAAGGTTCAATCACAATCTGGAGAAGTAAAGGTTTCCCACCGGTAGCACCATAGGAGTTGGGCCAACAGAACCCTATTCACCACACCCACCCTGGGACTGTTAAGTGCTGCTGGGAAGAGTCATGTCTCTGCTCCCATAGGCCATCCAAAGTTCATGTTCTACAGCCTCAGCTGGACCCTCCACTGGGCTCTCCTCCTTCACCTGAGATGTCACCCCCTAATTTACCAGTGGTCTACCTCCTCACTTGGGTGCCTGACTACATCAGTGTCCCAGCCAACAGCTGTCTGCCTCTAACTAGGCCTGGTGGAGGAGGAAGAGGAGAGCTCTCCTCGTGTGCTGTGGCTTCTCTCCCCTTTGCCATCCTCAGGAAAGCCTTGGGAGATGCAGATTATCTTCACACAGAGTTACCGACCTGATCTCCGTGATCTCCTCGAAAAGTTAGATGTGATCGGGGAATCCTGAGGGCTGACCCACATCAGCACAGGGCTGCCTCTGAGCAAACCCTGTGTCCCAGGGAATACAAGGAACAGTTCCTAGTCAGTATGTTGTCAGGTCTCAAGACTGCAGATTTCCTTTTTTTTTTTTTTTTTTTTTAAATTAATTTATGGTGTCAATTTCCAACATACATCAGGTATTCCAACTGACTGAGGAATGTTTGGAGGACATGGTGGGGCCATGTGTTTGTAAGGGTCCTGCTGACCTCTGGTTCTCTGGTTCCATAATGACCCAGGCACACTGTATATGTTCCATTGGGAAAGAGCTCCAGGTACAAGTTTGCTGCAAAAGAACGATTGGCTTTCTGCCAGATTTGTACATTTTCACAACAGGTCCTTTTTTTTTTTTTTTTTTTTTTAAAGATTTTATGTATTTGACAGAGAGCACAAGCAGGGAGAGCAGAAGAGGGAGAAACAGACACCCCACTGAGCAGGGAGCCCAATATGGGGCTCGATACCAGGACCTTAGGATCACGACTTGAGCTAAAGGCAGATGCTTAACTGAGTGAGCCACCCAGGCGCCCCACAACAGGTCCTTTCAGAAGCTATTCCTGTTTCTTGTTTCTTTCATTCCTTAGGTTCTGGAATGAATTTGTTGCAGATCCAGGACAAAGTCTGGTCGCAGGCTTGTCTTAGTGCCTGTGCGCCTCATTTAGAGGAGAAGCTTGGCTCACCGGTACCATCATGCTCTGTTGTGGTAGGTCTCCCTCCAGCTCATTTAAGCTGGCAGCTTCTGTGGGAAGCAAAATGGAACATAGACACACATACACAGAGTCACAGTCATTCATTTCTTTACACACAGGCAGAGACAATTTTCAGTCTAGTATAAGAGAAGTATCTGACGGAAGTCAAATGTCTGGATCAGTGCCTTGCATTTAGCAGGTACTCAGGTGAGGGAAAGGGAAGAGCAGACTTTCCACTGAGCATGGAGCCTAATGTAGGGCTCCATCCCAGAAGCCTGCTATCATGACCTGAGCCAAAGGCAGATGCTCAACTGACTGAACCACCCAGGTGCCCCCTGGCTCTGTGACTTTAATCTATGCCTCAGTTTCCTCATCATTTCCATTGTTCCTAAAACAGTGGGAACAATGATACTTTCTATGTCTTTAGGCCGTTGTTGTTTAGAATAAACAAGTTGATGCATTTAAAGTGCTTAAGATAGGGGCAACTGGCTGGCTCAGTCAGTAGAGCATGCTTCTCTTGATCTGGGGGTTGTGAGTTTGAATCCCATGTAGGGTGTAGAGATTACTTAAAAATAAAATCCTTTAAAAATTTTTTAAAAAGTGCTTAAGATAGTGCCTGGCCTATTAAAAACATTTAGGGCAGCCCCATGCGAAAGAATGAAGCTCGACCCCTACCTTATACCATACACAAAAATTAAGTAAAATTGGTTTAAAGACTTGAGTATAAGACCTAAAACCATAAAGCTTCTACAAGAAAGCAGGTGTTGGTGATGATTTTTTGGATTTGACACCCCAAGTAAAGGCAAGAAAAGCAAAAATCAACAAGCAGAACTACAGCAAACTTAAAAGCTCCTGCACATAAAACAAAAAGGCAACCTGTAGAATGGGAGAAAATATTTAAAAACCATATATCTGACAAGGAGTTAGTATCCAAAATACATAGCAAAAAGGCAAAATACTGTGATTGAGAACATTTAACCATTAGCATGGCACACCCATTCAGAGTGGACACTGGTTGTGAACACCGTGGTATCCCCTAGTTAACTATATTTTTGGCTGTTCCATGGGGAGGATGGAGTAGAGGGCCCCTCCAGAACCCTTTTGTAGGAGCACCTGCCACACACTTAGAAGAACGAGAATTCTGGGTGGTTCTGAATGTTGGTAGGAAGGAGAAGGTCCCTGTGGCTGGGAGAGGTTGAAAGCGGGTGGGTCATGAGAAGGACCAGGCTACCTCTCGTGCTACCCATTCTGAGTTCCAGCCACAAAAGCACTTTCCTGAGATGGACACCGATGCACAGAGCTTGGGGGGGGCATCCTCTGCCCTGGAAGGGGACAGTTCAGGGCCCAGGCCCGCTGAAGGCCAATGGAAAGAGTAAGGAAGGGCAAACAGGAAATGGCCAAGCCTCTGGGATTGGTACTCTATGTGTGGCTTTTGGTTTTGTGTGAGATGGAGAGCAGTGTTTGGTCTGTGGCAGCAGGCTTTGTTGGCCCTGTGCCAGGAACACATACCTCCCAGAGGGAGCCCATGCACAGTCTAGCAGCCTAAGGAATGGAAAAGAACTGATTCTGAAAAGTGTATTTTCCTTTGTAACAGATGTACCCACGTGATGGGGGAGAACAAGCAGAATCCATGTTTCCCATCATCCCTTCTTTTTTAAAAAATATTTTGGGATCCCTGGGTGGCGCAGCGGTTTAGTGCCTGCCTTTGGCCCAGGGCGCGATCCTGGAGACCCGGGATCGAATCCCACGTCGGGCTCCCGGCATGGAGCCTGCTTCTCCCTCTGCCTGTCTCTGCCTCTCTCTCTCTCTCTGTGTGTGACTATCATAAATAAATAAAAATTAAAAAAAAATTTTATTTGGGCAGCCCAAGTGGCTCAGCGGTTTAGTGCCACCTTCAGCCCACGGCCTGATCCTGGAGACCCAGGATCGAGTTCCGCATCGGGCTCCCTGCATGGAGCCTGCTTCTCCCTCTGCCTGTGTCTCTGCCTCTCTCTCTGTGTCTCTCATGAATAAATAAATAAAATCTTAAAAAAAAAAAGATTTTGTTTATCCACGAGAGACACAGAGAGAGGCAGAGACACAGGCAGAGGAGAAGCAGGCTTCATGCAGGGAGCCCAATGTAGGTCTCGATCCCAGGATCCCGGGGTCACGCCCTGAGCCGAAGGCAGACGCTCAGCCGCTGAGCCACCAGGCATCCCTCCCATCATCCCTTCTAATGCGGGTAGTGCCCAGATAGCTTTCTCGTTTTCTGCAGGAAAATACTTGGGATGTATGGGATGGGATGCTTCTCCAGCCCTGCCTCGCAGCCTTCTCACCCATCTGTCTTGCCAGCAGCGGCTTTTTTTTTTTTTTAAGATTTATTTATGTATTTATTTATTCATGATAGACAGAGAGAGAGAGAGAGAGAGAGAGAGAGGCAGAGACACAGGCAGAGGGAGAAGCAGGCTCCATGCCGGGAGCCCGACGTGGGACTCGATCCCGGGTCTCCAGGATCGCACCATGGGCCAAAGTCAGGCGTTAAACTGCTGAGCCACCCAGGGATCCCTGCCAGCAGTGGCTTTATCACCAGGCAGTACCCAGCCCGAACTGTATCTCACTTTCTGCCTGGGCCTCTGTCACTCCACGTTGGTGCTCTGCAAACCTGGAGGTCCAGGGAGTTAACACCCCATGGGGCAGCCTTCATCAGTGGGGGCCTGTGCTCCCTGTCGGGTCCCCGGGAGGACAGCCCTCAGATCCTTCACACACCGCTCCTCAGACATTGCCCACAGTGATGACCAGCTTGACCAACATGTACTTTGGTTGTGCTCCATTCCTGTCTCATTTCCTGGGATCACTTCCCCAAATAAGCCACCTGCATGTGAACCCTGACTCAGCCTGTTTTCTGAGGCAACCAGGGCTAAGACATTTCTCTCCCAGGAGATGGCTTATTCTGATGTAAATCCAAAATTTTTCTGGATGGAGCAAAATTTTCTTTCCAGATACCAGGACAATGCACCATTTGTTTTAAACTTTGGGAACTGAGATAAAGTCAGGAAAAGGGAAAAAAGTGTTTTTCTTTTCTTTTTTTATTTTTTAGATTTCATTTATTTGACACAGAGAGAGAGATAATGCCCAAGCCGGAGGAGCAGCAGGCAGAGGGAGAGGGAAAAGCTGCCTTTAGAGGAGCTCTGAGGGCCATGCTCCCCAGCGGCGTTTCCTCCTCCACACTGCTGTTTTTGGTTTATTTTCTTTAGGAAGTTGACCCGTGCACTTGCGTGTTTGGTTATTCTTAATCAGATTGCTGGGCTGATAGAGTGAGGGTGTGAGGCATCATCTTCTTCCGTGAATTTGCTTACTGTGCCCCCTTGTTATTTATTTACCATTAATGCTATTTCAGAATTGGGAGCTTACAAAACTAGTACAAGTTGGCGATTGGTTTGTTCTACCTGCCTCTCAAAATTCAGTGGTGTTCAAGGCAGTGGGATGACCTAATACTTTGGTTCTAGGTCGGTGCTGGGCTCCTCCAGCTTTTTGTGAACGGTAGAGACATCTTTGGTTTGCGACAGGCATTGATGTGAGTGCATGCCCAGTGATCTGGAGCACATAGCGTTATTGTGACCTGAAGTTTGGAGGGCTGTGCTGAGCAGGTGGGATTTGCCTCAAATGAGGCATGCTTGCTTTTCCTCCTCAGGGGGCCATTTCTTCCTACTATGTCCAGCGCTATGGATTTCCTCCAGGATGCAAAGTGGTGGCCTTCACTGGGGACAACCCTGGTGAGTATTTTGGAGGATTTCACTCTCCAAGTAGCCATGCTGGACATTTGAGAAGACTAGTCCAGCCTCTGGAAATCCTTCTGTGGCCCTTCCTCTCTGGCCGCCTGCCACACTGCTGACCTGAAATCTGAGTCCTTGTACATGCCCAACCTTGGCTCTGACTCTGCCCTCTCTGGAGCTGCTGAGGGTTGCCCCACAAGTGGCAATGATCAGCGATTAAGGAAGGCGGTCATGCCCACCCCTCCCTAACTACCTTTTCTGTTTCAAACTAAACGCCTCACTTCCTCCAGCCCTTCCTCCCTGATGGGTCTCCTCCTCTTCATTTGATATGTAGGTATGAATTATTCCTCTTAAAAACACTTTGTCCCTCTCCTAGCTGCTCCTGGAGGGGTCATCAGGTCTCTGAAGAAAGGCCAGGTAGCCGCACTGTACCGCCCGACTGCGGCCTTTCAGCCCCACCCCGGCAGCCCATTCCTAAAGAGCCACGAAATTAGGGTTGCCAGGCAAACACAGGTACAGGATACCCAGTGCGACTTGAATTTCAGAGGAACTATGAATAATTAGTATAAGTGCATCCCATGCAATATTTGAATTCTATGTAATAACACATGATTTTCTTATACTGGGCATATTTGGGATGCCCCAAAGTATGTTTCTCTCAAATTCAATTTAACTGAGTGTCCTCCATTTTTTCTGGCAACTCCACCCCAAATCACCATCCTAAGCTCCTGCTCTAAGGAAGTGGGTGTTAGGTACGTGGCAGAGGACAGGGCTGTTGAGCAGGTGGGGCAAACATCTGCTGTCCTAAGGAAGGCTGACTTCCTTCTTAGAGCCTCTCCTACTTCTCTCCATGGTGAGGGAGTGTGGCTCTGCTCTCCTTTTTTTTTTTTTTTTAAATTTTCACTTATTTATGATAGTCACAGAGAGAGAGAGAGAGAGAGAGGCAGAGACACAGGCAGAGGGAGAAGCAGGCTCCATGCACCGGGAGCCCGATGTGGGATTCGATCCCGGGTCTCCAGGATCGTGCCCTGGGCCAAAGGCAGGTGCCAAACCGCTGCGCCACCCAGGGATCCCTCTGCTCTCCTTTTAAACACATTTCTTTTCAGTTGTTTTCTGCCTTCAGCCCTCTTCCCAATTTCAACACCCACTAGCAGGATGTGGGCATCAAAAATAAATAGAGATACACATACCTCTAGGAGTGGAGTTTATGCCTTGAAATAGAGCAAATGGTCCTTGTTAAGATTCATTCTTAATAACGACAGTTACATTTTTAGTACTATTATTATAATCCATATTTTCTGCAGTACCTGTATGTATTTTGGGGATCAGGGAAAAACCTGATACAAATCCTTGTACCTCCTCTATCAACTGAAGTTGCTACTATTATTACAGGCAACACCACTAATAATGCTCATGGTGTTCCTCAGTCTGCTTCCAGCCTATCTGCTCTGGAGCTGAGGGCACAGCTAGCACATGCCCACCACACTTGTAGCCATCTTGGTGTCCTGGCTAGGACTTTCCCTCCAGGGAAAGCCTTGGCTCTGGCATCTGGAGGTAACCACAGGAGCCAGACAAAGGCCCCTCCCATTCCTGAGCGGTTTCTGTAGACTATCACACACAAAGTACAGAACCCAACAGAGGAAGGTTTGGAGAAGGGATCCCAGTGTTCCTGGTCCAAAGGTGAAGGAGAGGCAGAGGCTGGGGGACAATGGCCCAATTTCCACAGTGGCAAGGTGGAAGCTCCATGCTCTGTCCCTTGGTTTGAAGGGCAACTCCAGCCTGTGGTGTATGATATGAGGCTCCCAGGGGACACTCAGGACCCAGTTCCCATTCACCCTAAAAGTTGGGAGACCTAGCTTCTCTCAGAGAAGAAGAGTTGGTATATGACCACCAATTTAGGGAAGTTCTGCCCTTTTGTGGCCTACATCTCCTTTCCTTTCAGAATGAAAATAACTTCTTTGAGTCTCATTAGGCATATCCTTGTACCTCCTCTATCAACTAGAAGAATGTCAGGGGGAAGAATGGGCCTTTTAAACCACTGAAGTGAGCTTCTGGGCATGTTTGAGCAGGAATGACAGAGAAGCAGCTTTCCAATCCTTTCTCTTGGACCTCGGTTTCAGGCTGAATGGTGGAGATAAACCAGGCAGGTAGCCATCAATTGGTCCCTCCCTAAGTCTGACCTTTAGTTTGCTGCTGTTTTAAATAATGCATTAGTTGCTCCTTCATTAAAACAACCACAATAACAAGCAAACAGACTAACCAAGGCTCAACGTTCTTTTTCTTAACTCACAAAGGGATACCTCTCCACTGCAGAAAAGGATCTGAATGACCAAAGGAAGGATGTAAAAATCATCCATTATGTCTTAACCCAGAGATAACCACAGCTAAAATTTTGATAGTTGTCCTTCTGCCTTCCTTTCTGTGCTCATGAGCAAACGTGTTATTTTAACTAACCCAGGCAATGTTTTTGTGCAGCATCATTCTAATGGTCGTCCAGGGCCCTCCTGTTGTCCTACCTTTATTTCCCATCCCTTACGGTGGCAGTTGCTGGGGTTTCCTGTGCTTGGGCAGCACAGATAGTGTCAACCTGCACATCCTGTCTTGTCCCTTATCCCTACAGGACAAGTTCTCAGAGGTGGGGCTCCTGGATCCAAGGCTCTGCCTCCCCCCACCCCATGGCAGCAGCAATGGAGGACACCCATCCCTCCCACGTTTCTCCTTTCACTCAATCACTTGACATTTAGTGAGCTTAGATTAGAGGCCCTGACCCCAGGAACTATCCCCTTTGACCCCTGGGATCTTCCCTTGGGCCATCCTGAGCCCTCAGGTCACCCTGCTCCTGCTTCTACCCTAGCATGTGGATTGTTGTGGGAGGTGGGAGCTGGCTCCCACCTGGGGGTGACTGTGGTTTGCTTTATGGCTCTCTCTGACCTCCACCTAACCAGAGGCTCCCCTTCCATTCTCAGCATCGCTGGCAGGCATGAGGCTGGAGGAAGGTGACATTGCGGTAAGGTGACTTCTGATATACACAGGCAAAGCCAGAACTTTCTGCCATGAGGGACAGCATCTTTGCTGCTATTAGAGGGTCCAAAAGGCAGCTGAGGGGAGGGGATAGGAAGACCCAGGCCCCAGGGCCTGCTCATATCTTCTTTCTTAGAAGGTCATGTCCTTTGCTGGGCAGGCAGGTCCCCTTGACAGTGGCCAGTCTTGGTGGGTACAGTGGTAGAGGGACAGACATTGGGCCATAGGACTGTGACCTCCCCAGATGAATAAAGAACACATAACTTGTGCCCTTCTGGGTGTAGTGGGAAAGTCACTTGGAAACCAATTGTCACCCAAACTTTAGATGCAGTTGTGGTTAGGTTCTAGAAAATTGGCCCACAGTTTCCATGAGAGCGTAAATCTGGTTGCTAACTTTGGACCCATATGGTGTGGGGGGTCAGAGGAGGTTTTTCTGAGGAAGTGGCATTTAATCTGAGGTCTGCAGCATGAGGAGTGAAATGATGGGGGTCAGGGCTGGTGGGCCTAGGCAGAGACATGCCTCATCTCTGCCCATTTCTTCCCAGGTCAGCCTGGGCACCAGCGACACCCTATTTCTCTGGCTCCAGGAGCCCATGCCTGCACTGGAAGGGCACATCTTTTGCAATCCGGTTGATCCCCAGCACTACATGGCGCTCTTGTGGTAGGCTTGGTGGGCAGGAGGGAGTATAGGCAGCTCTGGCTCAGTCTGGAGCCCTCAAGTTATTCTGCTCAGCAGGCTCTTATGGCAGCTGAGACCCCAGGACTGATTGGGTTTTTCTGACAGCAGAACTTGGAGGGGAAGAACCCAGGATCTAGAGGCCTCCCCAAATCCAGGTTCCAATGCCATCATCAACACCTATATCCTGTGTCACCTGGGGCAGACCCCCTGGCATTTCTGAGCTGTGCTTTGCACATAAAATGGGAAGAATGAAAGGTTTACTTTATAGTGTTATGAGATGCCCAGCATGTGGTAGACCTTCAACAAATAGTAGGAAGGACATCCTGCCCCCGACAGTCATCATGGAAGAGGTGTGCTTTGTACTCTGATCACAGAGCTTTGAAAACCCACTAGAGTCTACTCAGGAGTTTCTAACCCTCTAGGTCCAAGGAACCATTGGAGAGTATGTAGGTCTAGTTCCATTTTCCGGGTGGTATAATGTGTAGAAACCATAGCTCCCCCCCACCCCACCCGTGTCTCCCTGGGGTGCCTTTGTGGCAACCTCTGTAAACAGAACCTGGGACAAGTGCATTTCCCAGTGATTCCCAGGGATGTTTGCTGGGCCTGATCCCAGAGGGAGAACCTCAGATCTCTGCCATTCACTGGGGGTCTGCCCGGCAGCCCTTCTACCTGGGATTGTTCACTAAAACATGGGTCCATTGAACAAGCACTGGGTCCCCCCTCAGGATTGTGTGCTCTTCTGCAGCTTTAAAAACGGCTCCCTCATGAGAGAGAAGATCCGTGATGAGTCGGCTTCCTGTTCCTGGAGTGATTTCTCTGAGGCACTGCGGTCCACGGAGATGGGGAACGGTGGGAATCTGGGTAGGCTGTGCGGTGATGCCCAGACCTGTGAAGTGCAGCAGCTGCTGGCAGTGGGGACAGGGCCTGGGGCCCCGGGGGAAAGCATAGAGGAGGGCCATAGTGCAAGCCAAGGGAAGCACTATCTGTCTATCCTGCTCTGTGGGCCTTCCAAACTAGTGTGAGACCCTATGATCTGTTCTTCATGCTTCGAGTGGAAGGTCAGGCCAGAGCTGCATTTCTGTCCCCCTCAGAGCCCCTGGTGACAGCATCAGAGATGGCAGCCACAGCTCCAGCTCTGCCCTGGCGTGCCTCTCTATGTAGCTTTCTGCCCCAGATGCAGCCTTTCATTAGGAAAAGTACCCAGCATTGGGCCAGGCCATCTTAGCAGGGAGGGGGTGTGCCATCCTCCATCAAACCTATGCCGGTATCTCCAGCGTGGCTGGGCGGCCGGCTCTGGCCTCAGCTGTCTGGTAAGAGTGGGCAAAACTGTCTCTGAGCATCTAGCCAGACCCTTCCAGTTCCCAGCCTTCCTGCTGCAGAGCAGAGACCGAGGGGTATTCTCCTGTCTTCTGGGGGACAGAGATGTGGGGTGATTCACCCTATTCTTACCTAAGTCTTCGAGAAGCTTATCTTTTATCTTTGATTACTAACAGCAAATCTCTTCCTGGTCTTTTTTTTTTTAATCTTTTTTTAAAATTTATTTTATTTATTTATTAGAGAGAGCATGAGCAGGGGGAGGGTCTGAGGGAGAGAGAAAATTCTAAGCAGACTCCGTACCTAGCATAGAGCCTGATGTGGAGCTCAATCTCACAACCCTGAGATCGTGACCTGAGCCGAACTCAACAGTCAGATGCTCAACCAACTGAGTCACCCAGGTGCCCCCTTCCTGGTCTCGTTTCAGGTTTTTATTTTGACATAATGGAGATCACCCCTGAAATTATTGGGCGCCACCGATTTAATGCAGAAAACCTCAAGGTACGTGTGGGGGTGTTAATGGAGAGAAATTGTCTCCGTTTTGGGGTATTAAATTGAACAGTCGCTTCTCAAGTTCTGCTAGGCTAGGGACTTTGTTCATTTACTCCGCGATTGCTAGAGCAAACATTTTGGCGTGCCAGAGTGCATTTCAGTGCTGGGGAATCTGCAGGATCTAAAGCAGACGCCATTCTTTCTCACAGAGGAGTCCTAGGGCAGTGTCCCCTGATTGCCACTGAGAGTCTCAGAGCTTGTTGCCTTGACAGGCTAAGTGTGCTCTAAGGACACACACTGTCTCCAGATCAGGAATTTCTTCCTGATTAAAGGCCTCTAGGATGGGAGATACTAAAAATTTATTGACTGCTGTTTAGCTCGAAGCACTGTGCTGGGGGTTTCCTGTGTCTCATTTACTGCTCAGAGTATCCTGGTATCCTGAAGTCCAGAGATGCTAAATCATGTGCCCCAGTCACCAGGGCCTGAGTGGTGGAGGAAGCTTCCAAACCCACCATCACTGGCACTGAAGCTCCTGTTTTACAGGAGGCTACACCGTGAGGCCTTTCCTACGTGGGATTCAGTAACTCACGGTCTACTAACTGTTGCCGTTAGAGTTGACATCAGATTTGCGGTTGATGAAGTCATTACATATTGGGTTGTAGGTGGAAAATGTTACACAAAGTATAGGGGTTAGGGCCCATCTCAGTCTTCTGATAAAGGGTCTCTTTGGTTTCTGTTGTTCATACAGAGAAGATACGCTTGTTCCTTTTTTCATAAACCCATCATGGTCTGTCAGACCTAGGGTCTGTCACTGGTCTCAGGGGCTAAGGCAGGGCAATGCTCGGGCTGAGGCCTGTCAGCATTAGCCTGAGGGACACCCCACAGCTGTGGATTCTCAGAGTCAGCCAGGTTCTCAGTATCAAACACCTAGACCAGGCACTGTTGTCTAGTTTGATCATTATAACCACCCTGAAGGGGATCCCTGGGTGGCGCAGCGGTTTAGCGCCTGCCTTTGGCCCGGGGCACGATCCTGGAGACCTGGGATCGAATCCCACATCGGGCTCCATCCGGTGCATGGAGCCTGCTTCTCCCTCTGCCTGTGTCTCTGCCTCTCTCTCTCTCTCTCTGACTATCATAAATAAATAAAAATTAAAAAAAAAAACCACCCTGAAACACAGGTACCACTATTAACCTCCATTTTGTTAAGAAAGAAAATGAGGTCCAGCGAGTTTTATGTAACTTATCCAAGGCCGTGGAGCTGAAGGCGCAGAGCTGAACCCTTGGCAGCCTGAGACTTAGCTCTCTGATGTTCTGCTTCCCAAAGTGAGCATGAGTGAGGCTGGGAGTACGTATGTGTGATGTGTTTGTGTGAGCGTGTGTGACAGGTGCGTAGTCGATAAGAGGCCAGCTATGTGTGTGCTGCCCTGGAGGCCTGTGACATGCCAGGTCTGGGCTGGTGTGTAAACAGACAACACACACACACACACACGCACACATGATGAAGGGACCACAGGGGGTTTTCATTCTATACCTACTTTCTCTTGGGGACAGGTCTCAGCATTCCCTGGGGATGTGGAGATCCGGGCACTGATCGAAGGGCAGTTCATGGCCAAGAGGATTCATGCCGAGGGCTTGGGCTACCGAGTCAGTAAGTGAGCTGCTGGTGGGCTGTGTTCTGGGGCCAGGACCCTCCTGCCCTGAGGTACTTGAGACCCTTCCCAACCTTCAGGTCAGGCTTCACACACCAGTGTCTGTTGAGGCTTCATTATGGAGGCAGGACGGAGATGGAGTCTGGCCTCTGGTGGCTGGGGAGAAGGTGAGTCAATAGGTCCTTGGGGAGTAGGAGGAGGAATGTTCCTGCTTCTCTGCTCTGTCCCCAGTTGCCTGACCTCCTGGTGAGTAGCTGTAGCCCTTAGAGACCTTTCTGTAGCTTGGACCACCAACCTGCAGATGAAACATCCCAAGCTCTAGACCTGGAGAATGTGGGCAGTGCGAGTGGGCAAGGTCTAGGCTGGGACCATCTGCCTGTGGGGCACATTCTGGGCATTTCAGCTTGGATGTGGAAGAGTGGGGATGTGGAACTACTGACAAAACTTAGAGGTCTGGAGAGGGAAGGCAGAGCCGGGCAAGTTGGAGGAGAGGGGCACTCACAGAGGAAAGGGATTTTCTAAGAACTTGAGCTATGGAATGGGCAGTGAGTTCCCCTTCCTGATGGCACTGGAATGGTCTGGGGTGGGGGCCTCTGCTGGAGGGTGGAGTCCTGGTCTCTAAGAGGTATTTGTCCTTCTGGGCAGCAGCTGTTATCACTAGAGAGGGTAGAAAACCTCTTAAGCTTCTTCCATTTTTCTCCATTCCATCACTCAGAGTGTAAAAAGAGATTCCCCAAAAGTCTCCAAAGATTTCAGAATCCCCTGAAAAGTGAAATCAGTGAGCAGGGCAGGGATGGTGCTGAGGTCGCGCCCTGTGCCTGGCATGAAGGGTCCTCTGGCCAGAAGGAGGGGACACTTTGTTAGGGGGCTGGCTCCAACGGTGTGCGGGAAGAGGCCGGAAGAGCAAGGAAGTCCTTCTGGGCCCTGGAGGGGTGATGGGATTATGCCACCCTTCCCAGCCTTTAAAGCAGTTTTATGCAGAAACGCATAAAATTACTTATCCTCTTAGCAAGCTTAAAGGCAATAGCAAACCTGTCTTGCCAGCTCTGCTGGGTTCCAAATAAGATTACATAAATGATCATGCTTGGAACCAAAAAACGGCTGCGCAGACATGAGGCATCCTTCTCCCAGCTGCTGTGTGTGTGTTCTTAGGTGACCTGCTTCTATAACTCAACGTTCTGTTCATGAATCCATCCATGTGAATTAGTGTAGCTACCAGTTGTCAGCTCTTGCACCACTGGGGTAGCACATCACGTGATTATACCGTGATCGATTCATCCATTGTTCTGTGATGTTCATTTGCTCTTTCCAGTTCAGTATTAGGAACTGGGCTGCCATGAACAATCATGTATGAGTCCTTGGTTGATTTTTCTTGACTTCATCTCTTCGATTTAACAGATATTGGTAGTAAACTGACAACCTGAGTATGGGCTTTTGTTTCCAGAACTTGTCATGTTTGGCTAGCATCATTAATTCTTTAATGAAATACCTTTAGGTCGGGCCTGCTCACTCAGGTGCCACATCAGCACAGGTGCTGTCATATACTAGCCTAATCCACTTGGTTACTCCCTTCTGGCCCCGCAGGCATTTCCATTGTTGGCATCTGAGTCTTGAGGCTTTACTTCTTTTTCTAGTAATTACTTTTTTCTTTCTTTCTTTTCAAGATTTTTTTTTTTCATGAGAGACACACAGAAAGAGGTAGATACATAGGGAGGGAGAAACAGGCTCTCTAAAGGAATCCCAATGTGGGACTTGATTGCATGCAGGACCTTGGGATCATGACCTGAGCCAAAGGCAGACACGCAACCACTGAGCCACCCAGGTGTCCCTAGTAATTACTTTTAAAATTTCAACATATAGGGCAGCCCTGGTGGCGCAGCGGTTTAGCGCCGCCTGCATCCCAGGGCATGATCCTGGAGACCTGGGATCGAGTCCCACGTCAGGCTTCCTGCACGGAGCCTGCTTCTCCCTCTGCCTGTGTCTTTGCCTCTCTCTCTGTGTGTGTGTGTCTCTATAAATAATCAATCAATCAATCTTTAAAAAAAATTTTTTTGGGGCAGCCCCGGTGGTGCAGCAGTTTGGCGCCGCCTGCAGCCTGGGGCGTGATCCTGGAGACCCTGAATCCAGTCCCACGTCAGGCTCTTTGCATGGAGCCTGCTTCTCCCTCTGCCTGTGTCTCTGCCTCTCATTCTCTCTCTGTGTCTCTATAAATAAATAAACAAAATCTTTAAAAAAATTTTTTTCAACATGTATATAAACACATTGCTTTTGATCAACACTTAGAATTTACATTCTCTTCAGTAATTATATTCTCCACTGGAAGACATTCTATTTCCTCTCATCCATCTTTTCTTTACCTCCAGTATTCCAGTTCCGAATGTTACTGTTCAGTGTACAGTATGCAGCAATAATTATTTAAGTTATATACATGGCAGCTTTCGTTGATTACCACTGTTTATTATATTGTACATCTAAGTGGTTTTGTATTTGGGTTTCATCTTGGCTTCAGGATGTCCTTGACTAATTCTTTCATGTGGTATGAGGGATGATCTCTGACTGTATGAAAGTTGTTTAATATTTCCCAGTTAAATGCCACTGTTACAGTATGTGGAATTCTGAGTCAAAAATCATATTATTTTAAAACTTTGAAAATAACATTCTATTGTCTTCCAACTTTTAGTGTTGCTAGTGAGAAGCCCATCTGAATGATATTTTTTTCCTCTACAGAATCTTCTAGAATCTTTTCTTTCTTTCTTTTTTTAAAAGATTATTTATTTATTTATTCATGAGAGATGCAGAGAGAGAGGCAGAGACATAGGCAGAGGGAGAAGCAGGTTCCCTGTAGGGAGCCCGATGTGGGACTCAATGCCAAGCCCCCAGGATCAGGACTGAGCCAAAGGCAGAGACTCAACCACTGAGCCACCCAGGTGCTCCCTAGAATCTTTTCTTTCTTAGCATTTTGAAATTTGTCAACTAAAGTCTAGGTATAGGCCTCATACCTAGAGATAAGGTACACCTATGTATACCTTTCGCCTGAATATATCTGACTTTTTCTAGCTTGGGAAAATTAATTATATTAGTTCTCCGATAATTTCTTTCCCTTTATTTCCTCTGTTCTTTTTACTATTACTCATATTAGACTGGTGGTTTCCAACAGAGGTGATTTTGCTTTCCTAAAGGATACTTGACGATATCTGGAGACATTTTGGGTGTCACAAATAGAGAGTGCTACTGGCATCTCAACAGCAGAGGCCAGGGATAGTGCTACACATTCTGTAGTGTGTGCAACAGCTCCCCACAGCAAATAATTATTCAGTCTAAATGTCAGCTGTGCCAAGGTTGAGAAACCCAGATGTTGGCCCTCTGGCCCTAATTACACTTTGCTCTATTTCATTATGGAACCTGTCACTATAGGGGCAACTGCCTGGCTCAGTTAAAAGAGCATATGAGGGGATCCCTGGGTGGCGCAGCGGTTTAGCGCCTGCCTTTGGCCCAGGGCGTGATCCTGGAGACCCGGGATCGAATCCCATGTCGGGCTCCGGTGCATGGAGCCTGCTTCTCCCTCTGCCTATGTCTCTGCCTCTCTCTCTCTCTCTGTGACTATCATAAATAAATAAAAATTAAAAAAAAAAGAGCATATGACTCTTCATCTTGAGGTTGTAAGTTTGTGCCCCACATTGAGTGTAGAGAGGACATACATACATAAACAAACTTATTGTTTTTTCAAACAAACTTTAGAAAAGATGAACTTGTCATTATCATGCTCTATTTTTAATGTATCTATCTGTTTATTGTCTGTCCTTCCCCAACTAGAATATGAGCTCTCTGAGAGGAAGAATTTCATGTCTTGTTAAACCACCCATTCCCACTTCTTAAATCACTTCCATGTGGGAACTGGGCTCTCCCTAAACATTTGTAGACTGAACAACTCTAAAAGGATAAATGATTCTGTGTCGTATTACTTTATTTTTGTCTCTTTGCTTATCACTTTAAATTGTAGGGAATTTCCTGGATTGTATCTTTCAGGTTATATTAGATATTGTCAGGTTTATTCTACTGTTCAGGTTTTCTGCCTAAATGTGTTTGTATTCATACGTTTTTTAATTTTTAGAACTCTTTCTCGTGTCTCAGTTCTTCTTCATAATGGTTTATTCTTCTTTTATGGATTCTATGCCCATTCAAATAAACCAGAGGATAAATATCAGAATTTTTTCAGATTTGCCCTTTTGTTGCATGGGTTCTTTTCCTCGTAAGGTAGTCCATCCACATTGATCCTTCTGTTTCGGGCTGTTGGTTTTTCTCAATTGTCTTGGCTGTGGGTTTGTGGTAGTGAATGAGGAACTGGGGTCTCAGTGTAGCAAGCCTAGGTTGCTGTTCAGGTGCAAGGAACCTTCTCCCAGCACCCACCACCCCTGCCCCACCTGCCCTCTCTAGGCTGCAGAAGTAGACAGGTGACAACAGGCAGATTTAAGTGGAAACTGGTGAGCATTGTACAAGCTTGAAAGCTGGAGTCCTCCCTACAGAGGCTCTCCAACGTGCCAAAATCAGCAGGATTTTATTCAGGTTGGAAGATGAATACAGCTTATTTTTCTAATGGGTGCATGTCTGTCTCTTTCCACAGCTACCCTGGCAGCTCAGTGTTACCTCAAGTTCTGATTCCCATCAAGCCCTCGTGGCACCCTCCCCAGGTAGCAGCTCACTTTGGCTGGAGGGAGCTCTAACTTGAGGCCAGATGCTGCTGCTGCTCAGTGGAGTGGGTAGAGACAGAGAGGCTGAGAGTCTGCTTTTCTGAAATCATTGGTCTAATGTCAACGCATGAGGGTTATGGCATCTCCACCAACATATAAAGCACCTTTGAATCCTTTGGTAATCTGATTAATGTAAACTAGTATCTCAGTGTTACTTTAATTTGTGTTTTTTTCCATTAACACAGCTCTTTTTTTTTTTTTTAACACTGCTCTTTGAACAGCTCTTTGTAACTTTACTTTTTTTCCTCCATGAATCGACTGTTTATATCCTTTACCATTGGGATCCCTGGGTCGCGCAGCGGTTTGGCGCCTGCCTTTGGCCCAGGGCGCGATCCTGGAGACCCGGGATCGAATCCCACATCGGGCTCCCAGTGCATGGAGCCTGCTTCTCCCTCTGCCTGTGTCTCTCTCTCTCTCTCTCTCTCTCTCTCTCTGTGACTACCATAAATAAAAAAAAATTATATCCTTTACCATTTACCCCATATTGAATTTCCCATCTTTTTCTTAATGATTTGCAGGAATTTATTGTATACTTTGAATATTAGATCCAGGGATCCCTAGGTGGCGCAGCAGTTTGGCGCCTGCCTTTGGCCCAGGGCGCGATCCTGGAGACCTGGGATCAAATCCCACATCGGGCTCCCGGTGCATGGAGCCTACTTCTCCCTCTGCCTATGTCTCTGCCTCTCTCTCTCTCTCTCTCTCTCTGTGTGACTATCATAAATAAATAAAGATTTTTTAAAAATGTGAATATTAGATCCATATCAGCTTTTTGGGTCACAAGCATCTTCTGTTATTTGTCTGTTAACCTTATTTTCCCATCTTCCAGTGCTGCAGAAATGTTTTTTTACATTTTGTACTGTTCGTGTAACTTCCACATTTAAGACTCTAATCCTTCTGGAGTTCATCTTTGTGAATGGTATAAATTGGGATTCAGTTTAATATTTTTTCCACATGGTGACCCAGTTCTTTCTTCCCCCATTATATGTAATGCCCTCTTTATCATTTATCAAATTTTTATATACATGTGAGTCTCTCTCTGCATTCCCTTTTCTCCTCCATTGGTTTATCGGTCTGTTCTTGGAACAAACTATTATTATGGCTTTGTAGTATGTATTAGTTGGCCAGGGCTGCATAACAAAGTACCACAGATTAGATGGATTAAACAACAGATAATTATGTTCTCACAATCTTGGAGGCTAAAAGTCTGAGATCAACATGTCAGCAGAGTTAGTTTATCCAAGTTCTCTTTCCTTGACTTGTAGATGCCTATGTCTTCACATGGTTTTCCCTTTATGTGTCCTAATAAACTCTTCTTATAAGGAAAGCAACCATATTGGATTAGAGCCCACTTAATGGCCTCATTTCAATTAACTACCTCTTTAAACATATATCTGTCTTTATCTCCAAATACAGTCACATCCTGAGGTACTGGGAGTTAGAACTTCAACATATGAATTTTAAGGGGATACAGTTCAGCCTAAAACATGTCTTAATATCTAATATAGCAATTCACCCCCTCATTTTTCTCTTTTCAGTGTGGTCTTACCCATTTATGGGTATTTATCCATAAATATTTTATGCTAAATTGATTCAGTTCTTTGAAAAAAATCCAGTGGAATTTTTATTTATGTTGCGTTGAATTTATAAATTAATGTAAAAAAATGACACTTTTATAATGTTAGCTCAAACCCATCCAGGACCATGGAATATCTTTTAATTTACTTAGATATTCCTTTTTGTACTTTAAGAACAGTTTTGATTTTTTTCTTTATAGAGACTTTTGAATTCATTGCTAAGGTATTTCCTGTCTACATTGCATTTCTGGTTACCATTGTGAATGGTAATTTATTTTCTATCACATTTGCTAATTGATTATTGTTAGAAATGCCATTGCTTATTGCAAGTTAATTTTTGTGTCTGGCAATCTTATTAGTTTGCCTATTTTTAATTTTTCAAGTAGATAGTTTATTGTCTGTAAACAAGGGTAGTTTTCTTTTTTTTTTTAAAGATTTATTTATTCATGAGAGACAGAGAGAGAGAGTCCTGTATGAGCAAGAGGCAGAGACATAGGCAGAGGGAGAAACAGGCTCCCTGCAGGGAGCCCGATGTGGGACTCAATCGGGATCCCAGGATCACAGGATCACGCCCTGAGCCAAAGGCAGATGCTCAACCACTGAGCCACCCAGGTGTCCCTATTTTTTTTTCAATTCTTATATATTTATTTATTTTTCTTGCTTTATAGGCACAGCTAGTATAACTAGTACTATGTGACAGTATATTGGATAGTATGAGTCTATGTTTTGTTCCTACTATTATCTATTGCTGTGTAACAAATTACCTCAAGAGTTAGCAGCTTAAAACAACAATGAACATGTATTATTTTATATGGTTTCTGTGAATCAAGAATTAGGGATTAACATAACTTGGGGGTTCTGGCTGAGGTCTCTTCTAAGGTTGAGGTCAGTATGTCATCTGGGCCTGTGGTCATCTGAAGGCTTGACTCAGGCTGTAGGATCTGCTTCCCAGGTGGCCAGCTCACACAGCTGTTAGCAGGACACTGGGGTTCCTCACCATGTAGGTGTCTCCATAGGACTGCTTGAGTGTCATCATGACATGGCAGTTAGCTGTCCCAAAGTGAAGAATCCAAGAGAGTGATCTACAACAGAACAAGATAGAAGTCTCAATGTCCTTTATGACCTGGTTTTGGAACATACACTCCACTATTGACACAATATCCTACTGGCCATGTAAGTCAGCCCTATTGATTGTGAGAAGGAACAACACGAAGTTAAATATCTGGAGGCAGGGGTCATTTGGAGGCCATTTTTTGAGGTCTGGGAAGCACACCAGTCATAAAATACTTTTAAATGCTTCTGTTAAGAATTTGTTCTAAATTTTGGATATATGGCCTTTATTAATTTAGTAAATTCCCTTCTATTCCTGGTTTGTTGACAGATTTTGTTTATTTAATGATTTAAAAAAAAAATAAAGACAATTAAGAGGTCAGCAGCCTCACAAGCAAATTATTTGTGACAAGCCTGCATGGACAGAACCAGCTTTGGGTCTCTCCTTGAGTCCTGTATGAGCAAGAGGCATTGGCCCAGTACAAGCCCGTTGTGGCTGAAGAACTCTGGAAAAAGTCTTTTTTGTCTTGGGAGATAGTTACAGCCATCAGTTTTTTCTTTTCCTTGCAGTGCCCAAGACAAAGATTTTGGCCACTGGCGGAGCATCTCACAACAAAGACATCTTACAGGTATGTGCTGGTAGTAGGCTAAGCAGTAGGGCCTCTTCCATGTCTGTTCCTTCTAAGAGCCAGACACTGTCCAGTAAGGACTGCCTCTGTTCCCATTCTTTTATTTTTTTTTCTCTGTACCCATTCTTGCAGATGACTGACAGGCTATCACATCATGTTGCTGTCACTGTGTTACTGGGACATGTACATTTTGGGTTATAGTCTGAGCATGTATCTTGAGGCTGTATCAACTATTGACTTCTAATATACCTGTCTTGGTCAGATTCTCTAAAAGAAGAGCCTGAGATGGGAGTTCTTCTATAAGTGGGTTGTTGAGAAGGTACTCCCAGGAGAAAGAGAGTGAGAGGTGCAGGTAGAGTTGAGGGAAACGATAAGCAAGAATATGGTTTTAGCTGTGGTTCCATCCCATAGGGAAGATCTGAACCGTGAACTGTACCACAGACTTGGTTCCCCTTTGGGTAAGGGAGCCAAGTGGCTAACTTGGAGATTTGTGAGAAAAACCTCCTCTGAGAGGCATCCTCTGTTCAGCCAAGAGCAATTCCTTTGAGGAGGGGCAACAGCCATTGGCCACCAATACAGCATCTGGAGGAGAGAAGCACACCAGTCCAGGAATGGAATCCAGATGGGCATCAGTGGCGTCTACTGTAATATTTCTGGTCAACTAAGACTCCCAAGTCTTTCCCATGAGGATCTCAGTAGAGATCCTCCATTTTTCAAGTTATGTAATTTATTTTGGGGAGCTAAATGGAAATATTTATCCTTCTCCCTATAAGATATGCCAACTTAGTTTGGGTTTGTTTGACCTTGTTGGCATTAGTGTCTACCTCCAACCATCTCCACCTTGACTGTTTGCTAAGTATACTTCCTAAGTCTTCCTCCTTGTCTTTGATAAAATGGTTAAATAGTGCAGGGACCTCCTGGAGAGCTGTGGCCCTCCACCAGAGACTTCCCCCCCAGGTCATCCTGACTCTTCTTATCAGGGTGGCATGGCTGAGTGTACTTCCTTTAAGACAGTAGAGGTGGAATGGAAGGCATCAGAAGACGGGTGAGGAAAGAGAGTGTGGAAAATGTGTGCCAAATGTGTGTGTTCCCTCTGAGGAACAACTTAGCACAGTAAGAACCTCCTCCCTTTCCAGGTGCTTGCGGATGTGTTTGGTGCCCCAGTGTATGTCATAGACACTGCCAACTCAGCCTGTGTGGGCTCCGCATACCGAGCTTTCCATGGTAGGTCGTGCAATGGGGAACAGAGGCTTCTAGAAGAGTTGGGGCACTGGCTGGGATGAGGAGGATAGAAAGGGGTGATTGAGATGTTCCCAGTCTTTAGGGACATCTAAAACTTGGGCTTTAGTTTCATTTTTCTCCCTCCTAGCAGGCAAGAACCAACCCACCAAACCTTCTGTTCTTTTATTCTGTACTTAAAGGGGGAAAGAAAAGTAGGTCCCTAACTGAATGAGGCCCCAAGCTCAGCACAGGGACATTGGGAAAGGATGCAGGATATGCTTGAGGGCACATGAGCATGGGTCTGGACACCTGGTGGGCAGGAGAGGTGGATGAAGTCCAGGGCCATCGTTTCAGCCAATGCAGGAAGTGGAACAAAGCTGAAGCCTTCAGGGCCAAACAGTCCAGTACCCTGGACAGCTCCACAGCGGCCCATTGCACTGATGAAGGCCTCACTGAAACTCAGATCTCCCGCATCAAGGCAGGTTCTTCTGGGAGCAGCCCATGCCCACAAGGGTCCCAGTTAGTCAATTTGTCCCATTCTCTGCTTGCTCAGACTGCTCCTCCAGCTGCCCACTTATCTCAGGGGCCCTCTTCTCTCTGGCAGTTCCATTCTTCATCCATTTACTCTTAACTTTTTTTTAACACACCTATTTAAACTTATATTTTCCTATCAACATTGAGAATCAATCAGGGACTAGATCCTTCTCTTAATAATTAACCTCTTACTCTTTTACTCCCCTCCATCTCCACTCTGTCCACCTTATCCCAGTTTGTACCACCTCCTTGTCCTTGATCCTTGTCAAGATCACAATTTCCAGATTGTGTTTTTAATTAAACTTGACCTCACATTGGCGTTTATTTTTACTTCCCTTTATTTATCTCTCTCTCTCTCTCTATTCCTTGCAGTTTCTTTCTCCTTTTTCTCTTCCGTGATTGTTTTGTTGGACTCTACAACCTAGATAATTTTAAGAGGGGATTCAGTAGGTGATAATGGGTTTTGTTTCACCCTCCAAAATAATGGTAACTTGTTCATGCAAAGGACTCTTAAGTTCAAAATGCTTTTCCTCAGCACCTTGAAAAAACTATTCCATAATCTACTGGCCCTTAGTGTTGCCCACGAAAAGCCCGGGGCCCACTTCTCACTCCTTCTGCCAAAGCAGGAAAGGCATTGCCCTTTACAGACTCCACTGCTATGTGGCACTCTGTTTCTTTTTTATTTCTCCTTTTCTGTGCCTGTTTCATTGCCAGAGGTTAGCTGGGGTACTGCCTCACTCTGGCCTCCAAAACCGAGCCCCAAGCTAAGTCCTAGCACACCGGTCCTCACTCTGAGGTATATTAGCCACTTCATGTCTGTTCTCCCCCAGCTGCATCCAGGATGAACCTCACATGTAGCCAGTCTCTGAATGAGTGGAGAAGGGACTGGTATCTTTTGACTGGTCTCTCTGCTGGCAACCCCACCACCCAACCATTCTCATGCAGCTCTGAGCTGAGATAACCCAGCATTGGGTTGGAAACTGGGCCTTGTGTCTTCACTGGGCCCTCCCTCACTCATGGTGTCCCTGTGCTTCCCTGCTAAGCTGATACTACATCAGTCTTAATTGCCTAGAAACTCCTTACTTTTCCTGTCCACCTATGGCAGCGTTCCCTCTTTTCTAGCCCTGCACTCATATTTATGGAGTGCCTCGGGTATGCAGGCAGTGTGCTAGGCACCAGGGCTCTTCTGAAGACCCAGTCCCTGGCTTCACAGAGCTGTGGGCTTGGCAAGGGAGGGACCTTACATCTGCAGCCAGAAATTATAAGAAGTCCCCAAGGACAGTAGATGATACTTCAGGGTGGAGGGTTAGGGAGCCTCCAGACAAGTGACATTGTTTGCTGCAGCTTATCTGAGAAGAAGAGCATAAGTCAGTGAAGAGAAGGAGACAGGAATATTTGACACGGTGAATAGGCTCTGAGGTAGGAGGAATTGTAAGAAGCCTGGGTGGCTTCAGTGCACTGAGCCATAGGGAGCGGGGCTCTGTGAGGGGGGAGAGGCAGGCAGACCTTCCTCTTCTGTTAGGTGCCAAGGGTTAGCTGCCTTGCTGGGACAGGTGCTGTCACAGTGAGCAAGACAAACTAGGCCCTGCTGGAGAGAGATCTGCATGTGAAATTCCTCTTCTCTCTCTACCAGTTTTACTGAGGCACAATTTACATGACATAAAAGTTACCCAATTTTAAGTGTACAACTCAGTGATTTTTAGTAAACTTGCTGAGTTGTGCAACCATCACCATAATCCCGTTTTAGAATATTTTATCACCCTAGAGATAAGATGCTAATTAACATCTTCATTTGCCACATCACTAATATGAAATGAGCTTTCTCTTCTAGGCCTTGCTGCTGGAACAGACCTGCCCTTTTCAGAGGTTGTGAAGTTAGCCCCAAATCCCCAATTAGCTGCTACCCCATCCTCAGGAGCTTCTCAGGTGAGAGACCATTAGAATTTGGTCATAGGCTTTGTATTGTGAAAACCAACTACAGCTAACTCTTGAACAACACAGGGTGTCAATCCCTTTGCTGACATGAAAATGTACATATAACTTTTGACTCCCCGAAACTATTAATAACCTGTTGTTCACCAGAAGCCTTACTGATAACATAGTCAATTAACACATATTTTATATATTGTGTGTTATATATACTGTATTATTACAATCAAGTAAACTAGAGAAATGAAAATGTCAAGAAAATAATAAGCAAAATACATTTACCATCTATTCTATCAAAAGAAATCCGCCTATAAGTGGATCTGCACAGTTGAAACCCATGATGTTCTTTTTTTTTTATTTTTATTTTTTTTATTTTTATTTTTTTGAAACCCATGATGTTCAAGCTCAGTTGTAGGTTCTTTTTTCCAAAAGGTAAGTTTTGCTCTGTCACTTAATGTTAAAGTTGATGTGTTCAACTAATGGGGAAATCCAACTTTTTTGTTTTTAATTGTCAAGAGAACAGAGCAGAAGAAGTTTTCAATTGAGATTCAAGACACTGCTGATTTTATAGCTCCAAGGGTCAGATAGATTGCTGAGTGTATCTTCAGTGCTCCATATGCCTCAGGATGGGCCCATATATTTCACTGGCTCAGAAGCCACAGAAAGACTGTCACTTAAATGCAAGATGTGCTGCCTTTCTAGGACTCAGAGTGAAGTCTGGATTCAGGACAGGGGTATGGTTCCCCAGGCCAGGAAATCCCTGTGAAGGCGGACCCTGCTGGTTACAGGTTGGATTCTCTGGAAAGCAGACACTGAGATGCTGATTAAGGTTTAGGAGATTTATTGAAGGTGCTCTTGGTATCTACATTTGTGTAGGAGGAAACAAGGCAGGACAGGGCAGGAGGAGGTGAGCCACAGGGCAATCTCAGTGGAGCCCTCAGCCAGTCCTAGAGGAAGTTCTGAAGCTGGGCAGGCTCTCTCGACTTAAACCCAGTTGAGATGAGGGGGCCAGGCCTTTATATCTCAGGTCAATGAGTCTCTGCCCTCAGGCCACCTCAAGATGAGGTAAGGCAGCTTTCTATAGCCAAAGCAATCCCCAGAGGGGGCCATCAGCTGAGGGCTGGGAGAATAAGTTCTTCATTCCTGAAGGACAATCTGGCTGGTACAACACAGCATCCACCATACCTCTATTCCTATTTGCAGAAGGTTCTGGCAGCCCAGGAGCAGAGTTGCACAGATGGAGGGCATCATTACCAGTTGAGCAAGTAGCATGAGCTGAATTCATGCTTGCACCAGATTTCCTTGGCCCTAACATGCCATGGGATGATACAAAATGGGCCCAGGAGGATACTGTGCACATGCTGTGTCTGTGTCTCAGCTGAGTGACCCCAGGCTTAGGAAACTCCCAAATTATAAAGGAGTTGCAAGCAGATCTGCTCAACCTTTGTCCTTAAGAAAGACATTTCTGTACTAGCCTACTCAGCAAATAAATTTTCCCTCTATCCCAGAGGGCAACTCTATCTCTATCTTCCATTGCTGTTTGCTGTATAAACATTGAAAAGATAGACTGCAACAAAAGCTGTCACCAGACATGTGAAACTCCATGGAGAATTGCCTCTCAACATATCTTAGAACAGAAGCTCCCAGTTTCCAGGTGACTACATGCCCTCCACACAAAGGTGTACCCAGGCTCCTATTACTTTGTCCTTAAGTTGTATGTCCTTACCTTTAAGAGTCTGCTCAATGCAGTAGGAAGGCCCTAAACTGATTTAAAGGGCCTTCGGGTTCAGATTCTTACCCTGCCTTTCCTTTAACATACGACCTTCACGTGATCTTGAGCAGCATTTCTCATCTGTGAAGTGGGGACACCATCTGGTCCTGCCTACTTTTAACCTGCTAATTGTGAGGCTTAAGACAAATCTTTGACTATAATGGCTTTGCTATGTAACAAGAAGTGTGAAGGTAGTTGTCAGGGTTGGTTCAGTGGTTCAGTGGTGTCAGGGCTCTGGGTCATATTCCCTGCAGTTCTACAGCTCAGCAACAGATGATGGAAACATGAGAATCACATATGTCATTTATAATTTTCTAGTAGTCTCATTTAAAAAAAAGTAAAAATAAGTAAATGACTAATTTTAAAGATATATTTTATCTAATCCAGTATGTCCAAAATAATGCCATTTCAATAGGTAATCAATAAGAAAAATTACTAATGTGATATTTTAACATTCCTCTTTTTTGTATGAAGCTTTTGAAATCTGGTGTGCATCTTATACTTGGAGCACTAGTCATGTTTCAAGTGCTCACAGACATATATGATTTAAGGCTACTGTATTGGGTAGTATGGCTCTAGATGTGCTCCAAATGATCACAGGCTATCTGCAGCTGCTCCAAACATCACGCTCCCTCACCACTGTATCCATAGGTAGGAATGAGAGCATGGTGTTGGGCAGCCTCTCTTCGCACACTTTTTGCTCATCAGAAAGAGAATACTGATCTGTTCCTCTCAATTCCCCACCAGACTGCCACTTGGTCATATGGTCACCTGTGGTTGTAACCATGGGGCAGGTTCTGGCTCTTTTGTCCTCTAGAAGGAGGCCTACAAGGGAGAAGGTAGTTGGGGAAAGCATTAGGGCAGCAGACAGCTTTACCTGCCTCATTATAGGTAGCAAACACTCTGTGTGAGTATCACCACCTTCCCTGGCTTGCCCATGACCAAAATGACTAAAAAGTTCCTGGGACTCTGTACCATTAACCACATGTGTAACCTCAGGATCCTTCGTGACACCAGGCTCCAAGCAGCAACAGTCTGTGACTGTTGGTGTAATGACCTATTTGAGGACTGCTTTGTAAACTCCTTGGGAGCAGGGGAGCATCCTCTGTGTTCTCTCTATGGCACATACAGCAGTGGTTGTGCTCAAGTGGAAACTCAAAACTGCACCAGTGTTTTCTCTCGGCTCAGCAGAGAAATTGCAATTTCCTCCTGACAGAAGATCAAAGCGCCCCCTGAGTTCTCTTCTCTGTCACCTTCAAAGAGCTGCCCCAGATGTGCCAAGAGTGGGCCTTAGTTGTGTAATTAGTTTTTAAAGTACTTGACTTTGGAGCTAATTAAGCCAAATGAAGGAGTGGGATTGGCATGAGCTAGTAGTGGCATTTGTGAGTCTCAAGGAAATCTGGGTCCCTTGGTCTTTAAGTGTTGCTGATCTATTAGACACCATGTGCTCACCTGAAGTGCCCACATTTCTCAGGCTAGGCTTATAGAACCACAGGAGAAAACAGCTTTAAATAAAGGAGGGGAGGGCAGCCCAGGTGGCTCAGCAATTTAGTGCCGCCTTCAGCCCAGGGCCTGATCCTGGAGACCCGGGATCGAGTCCCACATCAGGCTTCCTGCATGGAGCCTGCTTCTCCCTCTGCCTGTGTCTCTGCCTCTCTCTCTCTGTCTCTCAAGAATAAATACATAAAATCATATATATGTGTGTGTGTGTATATATATATATATATTTAAATAAAGGAGGGGACGGGGAATGAAGGAATGAGGTTAAGAATGTGGGGTTATGGGCAGCTCCTGGTTGGCTCGGTTGGATTCTTGATCTTAGGGTTGTGAGTTCAAGCCCCACATTGGGTATAGAGATTATTTAAAAATAAAATCTTAAAAGAAAGCCTTTTCCCCTTATTGGTTTTTGGTTTTGGTTTATTACATAGCACACTGTATATATAATTTTGTAGCCCACTTTTTAAAAAAATACTACAGTACAACATGAGTATTTACATTCTTAAAAATGAACATACACATTATTTTTAATGCCTGCATAATAATCTGTCTGGCTAATGAATCATAATTGTGCATTTTATTTATTTTTATTTATTTTTATTTTTTTAAATTTTTATTTATTTATGATAGTCACAGAGAGAGAGAGAGAGGCAGAGACATAGGCAGAGGGAGAAGCAGGCTCCATGCACCAGGAGCCCGATGTGGGACTCGATCCCGGGTCTCCAGGATCGCGCCCTGGGCCAAAGGCAGGCGCCAAACCGCTGCGCCACCCAGGGATCCCAATTGTGCATTTTATATGTCTAGAGCAGTTGCTTCTAGTTTCTTAATTTTTATAATTGAAATTATATGGGTAAAAGGTGAACAGAACCTTTTCCTATTCTGCATGAGAATTTGAACCCTGGTTCAATTTCTAGCTCTGTTTCTTTTGAGACTTAAATAAAAATGGAATGTCAACAATATTACTATGCAACATTGCTTATGTACAAATGGCCTTTACTTAGGGCATCGTATCTGGAGTGGGAAAACCATATATACTTGGGAAGTTATACTTAGGGCTTCCCTGAGTCCAGTGACATCTCATGGGCATGTGTCTTGCCTATGGAGTTGTTACAAGAGAAACTCCTGTGGGACATGAGGTTCCAAAGCCACCGTGGTTCTTTGCACCTGTACAAGTGGATTTCACGTTTGCACCTGAGCTGTAACTTGGGGGGTCAGGGAGACCCTTTCCTGGACACTTGTGCAAACTGCTATAAGGACCACTATGGGGATCCCTGGGTGGCGCAGCGGTTTGGCGCCTGCCTTTGGCCCAGGGCGCGATCCTGGAGACCCGGGATCGAATCCCACGTCGGGCTCCCGGTGCATGGAGCCTGCTTCTCCCTCTGCCTATGTCTCTGCCTCTCTCTCTCTCACTGTGTGCCTATCATAAATTTAAAAAAAAAAAAAAAGGACCACTATGTGGTCTTTCATTCAAGAGGAGCACTTGCAACCACTGTACCAATGGGTATGTTTCTCTAGTTTATCCTTTTGAGGGCCAAGGTGTGGTCCATGGTAGTCTTAGGAAACTGGGTGGTTAGTGTCTAAGAAGATCCTTCATAGGCCTGGCATCCCACATTTAGGATTGTTTCCTTAGGGGAGCTTTGCAGAAGTAGAATGATTGCGTCAAAGGCTATGGCAATTTTCAAGCCCTTTAATACCAACATATAGTCAAGTTGATTCCCAGAAGAGTGGCACCACCAACTTCACCAGCCATGAGACAAGATGGTATTGCCAGGTACCTTCACCAGAATTTTTAAAAATCTTGTAGATTTGATAACAAATTTTTGTCCTAATTTGCATTTTTAAAAAATCTTAAACTGTAGGTTTGAGAACTACTAGCTTTTCCTCTTTTGTGAATTGATACTTCCTTTCTTTTGCCCAGCACAAGCACCTAAATCGCTAGTAAATGGGATGCTAAATTTTAAAACTGCAGGCTGCAAAGAGATGGAAGAGGCACCTCTCCCTCCCCTTTCTAAACTGCTTTTTTTGTCCCTCCAGGTCTACGAGGCCCTTCTCCCGCAGTATGCCAAGCTTGAGCAGAGAATCCTGGCCCAGACCCGGGGGCCTCCAGAGTGAATGCCTTGGGCCCAGGCACCCCTGTTAACCCTGCGTCAGACTCCACTGATCCCATTTGGAGACATGCTCCTCCTGGACAGCAGGGATCCTCTTCCTTGTCCTAGGGGAGTACCAGCCCACCTGACTCTGCAGTGCTCCAGCCCTGCCCAGGACCACCTGAAACCCACCTTAGCACACCTTCCTAAACTTAAATGGACCCTTTTTCCCGGAACAGGAAAGCATCTGTCTTTTCCTGTCTAACCTGGGAGGCAAGAGAAAACAGACTGGGATATGTCCAGTAAAAACTGTGACTGTTGGCCTTTTAAAGGCAGAAGTAAAGCTAATATAGGACCTCAATCAGGAGAACAGGGAGACAGAGCTGTCCCCCATACCCTGACCCCAGCAACCCCTTCCCCAACTTGGTCTTTTTGGCTACTCCTCCCCCAAAATAACCTGCAGCCATCTTCTCTTGCCCCATACTGTAACTCCTGTGGTCCATCCCTACCCCTGCAAAGCCTGACCCCCCCCCATCCCCTAGCTGCTTCCTCCTTCCTCATTTCAGGAGGGCTTCCTAGTGTCTTCCTTTCTTGTCTTCTCCATGCTCACCCCACCTTCAAGTTTTTGCTCTTCTCACCCTCCAGCATCTGCCCCTTCATCCTCCCTAATCTCTCCTCCCTCCCCATGCCCACCTGCTGTAACTTCTTCCCACCCAAAAAGCTTGACCTGTTGAATAGGCTTCCTGTCTCCTCCCATCAGCTCTGCCCACAGGCCGCCTGACTCCCTGGCACACCAGACCACGTGCAGGGGCCCTCTCTCAGGTGATACAGGGGAGCACCTCCCTCCCTCCATCCCTTCCTTCAGAAGAATTTCTCAAATTCTGGATTTTGTTGATTCTATTCATGTTACTCTCTGTCTTCTGTATTTCCTGTAAATTGGTGGTTGGGACTAATACAGAGCTCCTCAACCTCAATACTATTAGCATTTGGGGCTGAATAGGTTTTGGTTGTGAGGGGGCAGCAGTGTCACTGGCCTCGATCCACCAGATGCCAGTAGCACCCCTTCCCCAAGTCATGACAATTCAGAATGTCTTCAGGCATTGCCACACATCTGGTGGGGATGGGAAGACAGAATTGCCCCTGGTTCATAACCACTGACCTAGAAGTTTGATCCAATGCACATGTGATTATTTCCCTTTTTATTGTCAGACAACTTCATAAGATGGTGGTGTATTCTTCTTTCAGAAGGCACCTAATGTCTGGTTTTCTTAATGGGTTGATTCCCAAGCATCCTCTAACAGCAAGTAGGTTTTTATTTTCAGTGTCAATATGATACATTTAATATAGTCTATGTATTTTTATCTATTACAGTAATTATTTCTACCTTGCCTTCTTTTTGATAGTCATTCTTTACAGCTTCTCTCCTGCTTTCCTGATATTTCATTCCTTCTATCTTCTTTACTGATATGAGCACTCCTTGTGTACTCCTTAATTATTGCTTGGCCCCAAATCTCTGTCCCATCCCTCTTTCTCTCCCATTTTGTCCCCTGATATTTCATTCCTTCTTTCTTTTTTTTAAAGATTTAATTTATTTATTCATGAGAGAGAGAGAGAGAGGCACAGACACAGGCAGAGGGAGAAGCAGGCTCCATTCCATGCAGGGAGCCTGACGTGGGACTCGATCCTGGGTCTCCAAGACCACACCCTGGGCTGAAGGCAGCCCTAAACCGCTGAGCCACCGGGATGCCCTCTTTTACTGATAGGAACACTCTGTGTACTCCTTCTTAGTTATTGCTCAGCCCCAAATCTCTGTCCTTATCCCTCTTTCTCCCCCATTCTGTTCTCTCTTATTGGATGATTTCATCTCTTCTTGGGTTTCAACCACTATATATAAGCCAGGAACACCCAGATCTATATTTCCATCCAGAACTCTCCTTAGAGTCTATTAGAATTCTCAGAGGGGTACTTCAGACTCCACTTATCTTCCCTTGCCCTTCCCCAAACTTCCTCCTTTTGTGTTCCTGTTTCAATGAACTGGTGCCCACTGTTCGTTCATCCATTCATTGAAGAACCCAAACCCCAAATGCAGTTGTCCTCCCCATTTCTTATGTCAGATAAGTCACCAAGTGAGTTTGGTTATTCCTTTGGTAACTCCTAAAGCAGTTCCTTTCTCTGTATCCCTCCTGTTTTATCTTAGATCCTTTTATTCATTACTCAAATTATGACAGAAGCCTACATAGAAAGTCCTGTGTGATCTGCTTCCTGCAGAATCCCCCAAATTTTACCTCTGCTGCAGGCCCCTGCCTGTTTTGGGACTTCGATTAAATCAGTCTATTTGTGGTTTCCACCCAGAGTGGAAAAATGCTGCAAACTGGATCTGAGACCTGGTTGATCAGAGCAGTATAGGGGGAAGTCAAAAGGAAGAAGTTTAGAAAGCGGGTGGGACCAGCATCATCACTTCTGAGAGAGATGGAGTCATCTTGAAAGGAAGTGGTGCCCCTAGCAAGCTTGGTGGTTCAAAGGAAAAAAGAAAGCTAAAGATAACAGCCTGTCAATAGCAAGTCAAAGATTCAGAAGATAGATAACTTCCCCACCCCTACTACCTAGACATTACTTATTAAATAAGTTTTACAACATTGATCAACAGAAAAAGGTTCTCTTGGATCAAGAAACAGAAAGGACCAGTCAATCCATTTCCCATTTTACCTTTGCCCCCATAGAGTTGCCTGTTATCATAAGCATGTCAATATAACTAGAAAAAGGAACTCACTTTGTATACAAATAGATGAAGAAAACAAAGTCAGAATGATAACTTTTCAAGCTGATGAAATAGTCCAAAATAAAGAGAACAAAACAGTAAACTGTAACAACCCTACAACATAAACTCTAGAATTTTGAAACTGAATGTGAATATGAAAGAATACCACAGTTCAGAAAATGTAAAACTCCGAATAAAAATGAAAAAACGCAGGCATATGTGAAGAGAGAAATGACCAAGCTTGGGAAAGAATCTGAACAAAAAATTAAAATCATCAGATATAAAGATGAAACCACAGCATATTCAAGTAAAAGAGATGACTACAAGTGCAGTAAAGCATGTAGAATATGGGAATGACAGGGCAGCCCAGGTGGCTCAGCGGTTTAGTGCAGCTTTCAGCCCAGGGCCTGATCCTGGAGACCCGGGAACAAGTCCCACATCAGGCTTCCTGCATGGAGCCTGCTTCTCCCTCTGCCTGTGTCTCTGCACCTCTCTCTCTGTCTCTCATGAATAAATAAATAAAACCTGGGCAGCCCTGGTGGGCGCAGGGTGTGATCCTGGAGCCCAGGGTGTGATCCTGGAGACCCTGGATTGAGTCCCACGTCAGGCTCTCTGCATGGAGCCTGCTTCTCCCTCTGCCTGTGTCTCTGCCTCTCTCTTTCTCTCTGTGTCTCTATGAATAAATAAATAAAATCTTTAAAATAAATAAATAAATAAAACCTTAAAAAAAAGAATATGGGAATGACAAAAGCTAAGCAAAAAATACACAAGAAGAGCTGGAAAGGTCCAAAACAAAAATGATAGGTAAAGAAGAAGTAACATAGGTAAAATTGGAGCTCCCAGAAGCTACCAAAAAAGACAGTGTAATTGGTTAATACTTAAAACTGCCCCAGGAGAAGTTTCTGAAAAATTAAAAAGAAGACTTGACACTTGAAGGGCCCCTTTTGTTACATAGAAAATTGACCCAGAATGGTCAACTGGACCTATCCTAGCAAACTATTAAAACTTTGAAGATGAAGTAAAAAACCCTTTAGCCCTATAGAGCTAGTCTCTTAGCAAAGGAAAGGTCAGACTGGCATCAGACTTCACATAAAGTAAGTAGGAGTGGAGCAACATTTTCAAGAAGTTAAAAAAGATGGGAACTAAGAATAAGTGTTTTATATCCAGCTAAGCTGTCCTTTAAGTATCAAGGATATATATGTTTAAATCATAAGAGCTCAGGAAATATTGTACTCATAACCCCTTAGGATCTTACTAAAAGGTAGGCTCCAACCAACTAGGAGATGATTGGGGAACTTCAGCAAAAGGACTAATGGTGAGCACTGAGTATCTTTAGTTTCAGATCTAAGACCAAAAGGAAAGTGGAGAGAGCAGCCTGGGTGGCTCAGCAGTTTAGCGCCACCTTCAGCCTAGGCCCTGATCCTGGAGACCCGGGATCTAGTCCCACATCAGGCTCCCTGCATGGAGCCTGCTTTTCCCTCTGCCTGTGTCTCTGCCTCTCTCTCTCTCTCTCTCTCTCTCTCTCTCTCGAATGAATAAAATCTTTTTAAAAAATTAAAAAAAATGAAAGTGGAGATAGGGGTGGAAAAATAGAATCAAGTGGTATATGCTTTGATAAGGTAAAAGTAACAAATGAAAAAGAAGAGGACAGTACAAAAAAGTGATGCAAAGGCAGTATGTACAAGGCAAAGAGTATCATTTAAAGTTGACAAACCAAGTAGTTGGGGCTTAAAGAAAAGAGAGACTAAAAGAATTATATATAGGTAATAGTACAAAGATAATCACTGGACTAAAGATAGAAATTTCCCTCGGTGCCCAAAGAAACAGTAGTAAAGGCAGTAAGTTGCATAGTGAAAAACATGCAGTGAATGTAACATCATACACAGTAAAGAAGCAGAGTGAAATTAATAAATTGAAAGATTCGACTCATCTGTTTTTAAAAGATTTCAAAAATGAGCAAAGTGGGGGAGAAAACAGAGGCAAACTAGGAAACAGACTCTTTGGAAAGTAGGCTCCACGTCCAGTGTGGAGTCCAATGTAAGGCTTGAACTCACCACCTTGAGATCAAGACCTGATCTGAGAATAAGAGTTACTTAACTGACTGAGCCACCCAGGTGCCCCAGGAAACACTCTTAACTATAGAGAATAAACTGGAGGTTACTAGAGGGGAGGTGGAAGGAGGATGGGTGAAAAAAGGTGGTAGGGATTCAGGAGTGTGCTTGTGTTGAGCACAGGGTGTTGTTTGGCAGTGTTGAATCACTATATTGTACACCTGAAACTAATAATACACTGTATGTTCACTAACTGGAATTTATGAACTTTTTAAAAAAGTTCAGGGCAGCCCTGGCGGCTCAGCGGTTTAGCGCTGCCTTTGTTCCGGGGCCTGATCCTGGAGACCTGGGATCGAGTTCCATGTCGGGCTCCCTGCATGGAGCCTGCTTCTCCCTCTGCCTGTGTCTCTGCCTCTCTCTGTGTGTCTCTCATGAATAAATAAATAAAATCTTATTAAAAAAATCCTTTAAAAAGTAAAGTTCAAATTGACTCACAAACCAGCATTTTATGTTATTTATAAGAGACATATCTAAAACAATTGATCCATTAAGGCTAAAAATTAGATGGGCAAAAATATACCAGGCAAGTACAAATCATAAAAAGCAAGATTACAGTACTGATATCTGATAAAGGTAGAATCCAGGAGAAAGACAAAGAAGGACACTAATGCTAAAGTCACAATGAAGGTATACTAGTTATAAATGTTAGAACCTCTTTCATTTGCCAACTTTAAATGATTTTCTTTGATTTCAGCGATAGATTCCAACAGAATATATATCTTCTGAATATATATTGAATTTTGTGTCTTATAATAAGGAATAATACTACATAATAGAGGATGTACCTATTCACAGAAATTGGCCATTTATTATATCACAAAGAACATCTATAATTTCTATAAACTAGAGATAATACAATCTTCTTAAATCCCAATGCAATAAAATGAGAAATTAATAAAATACATATACATATTTTTAAGTCTTATCTGGAGAAAGACTTTCTATGAATTACTCTTGGGGTGGGCACCTGGGTGGCTCAGTGGTTGAACGTCTGCCTTCAGCTCAGATCATGATCCCAGGGTCCTGGGATCCCACATCAGGCCCCCCACAGGGAGCCTGCTTCTCCCTCTGCCTATGTCTGCCTCTCTCTGTGTGTCTCTGTCATGAACAAATAAAATATTAAAAAAAAAAAAGAATTACTCTTGGGACAAAGGGGAAATATAAACCAAAATTTCAAAGCTTTTAAGAAAAGATTGATAATGAAATCTGTGAGATATAATTAAAGCACTGATAGGTGAAACACAGCTTTAAAATATTATAACATGTCAGCTATACTCAAAAATTTAAAATATTGTAATTGATGAATAAAACTTGAATAAAAACAACTCAAAAGCAAAAAGAAAAAACCCAAAATAAACAAAAGAAACGGGATATAAGAAGTAATGATAAAATCACACATTAGAGATACAGGAAAAAAATGAGTGGAGAGTATTTTGATTATTTGAAAAACAACTCTTGATTTTGGCTCAGGTCATGATCTTAGATCAGAGATTGAGCCCTGTGTTGGACTCCAAGCTCAGGGTGGATTCTGCTTATACCTCTCCCTCTGTTCCTCAGGTCATCCACCTGCTTACGCACGCTCTCTGTCAAATAAGTAAAATATTTTTAAAAAGCCAAACAAAATAGACAAGCCACCAGCTAACTTAAGTAAAGGGGGAGGAAGAAATATAAAAAATGAAAATAATAGTGAAAATTAACATTAAAACAATGATTTTTAATTTTAAGGACTATTTTGTACAACTCTGCAAATAATTTGGAAACCTAGATGAAATGGTAATGACCAGGAAACATAATGTACTAAAATGACTCCAGTAGAAAGTTTAAGCAGACTAATTTTCATAAAGGAAATAGATTATCAAAGAGCCATACTATGAAAAGCCCTAGGTTGGTCGGCTTCATGGGAGGGTTCTATCAAACCTTCATAATTGAGCCCTTTGCTACATAATGTATTCCAGAACTTTGGGAAAGAAGAAACACGTCCAGATTTTTGTGAAGCAAATATAACATTGATTCCCAATTAGGTTGCAAAAATAGCCCCAGTTCTTCACTTACTCTTATATCCACATACTTGGCCATGGAGTTTTGTTGCGCCCTCCCTCTGGGTTTTTCACAAACAAGATGCAAGCACGGGCTTTGAAAGTCCTTATGCAATTGAGGTTTCTCTCATTTTGCTCTCTACCTTTATTATGAAATTTTGGGGCCTAATCTTGCCTGACCAAAGCCATCCTTGGTCTGCCTAAACCTAAACATGTGAATGGGTACAGGTGAGACCAGATGCACTGCCCAGCCAAGTCCAACCTAAATCACCAGCCTACAGATTTGTGAGCTAAATACGTGTTTATTATTTTAGGGTGTTGATATTTAAAGAGATTTATTTATAGTAATAGATAAGTGATACAGAAATTGGTGCCAAATCAAAAAACTAATATACGTGACATTGGAGCTGGGCTGTGGGTGGAGCTTGGAAAAATGTTAAGAAAATTATTTTAGGAGACTGAAAAATGGAAAAACTGAGCACCTGCAGTAACTTGGAAGGGCAGAAAATGTACCTCCTGAACATTTGGGCTTGAGAAAAGACATTTCTAGGCAAAACATTGAAAATGTCAGCTGCCTATTACTCAGGAACTGGCCAGATTTGAGGTAGAATTTAGGGGGGATATAAAGGTGTTAGAATAATAACTTTTTCATCTCCATCCCTTTAAGCCAATGAAAGACCTCAGGCTTAAGGTACAGCTTTAAGTAAAAACAAAATCACGGACTGAAGACACTTTGGAGGGGCGCCTGGGTGGCTCAGTGGTTGAGCGTCTGCCTTTGGCTCAGGTTGTGATCCTAGGGTCTCTGGGATCCCACATCAGGCCCCCCACAGGGAGCCTGCTTCTCCCTCTGCCTATGTCTCTGCTTCTCTCTGTGTGTCTCTCATGAATAAATAAATACAATCTTGAAAGAAAGAAAGAAAGAAAGAAAAGAAAGAAGAAAGAGAAAGAGAAAGAAGAAAGAAAGAAGAAAGAAAGAAAGAAAGAAGAAAGAAGAAGAAAGAGAAGAAAGAAAGAAACCTCTCACAAGGCTATAATCAAGATGTTGGCCAGAGCTGGGGTCTCATCTGATGCTTGACTAGAGAAGGATTCACTTCCAAAGTCATGTGGATCCAGCTCCGTGTGAATTACTGGATTGAGGGTCTCAATTATTTGATGGTTATTGGCCAGAAGCTCCCCTCACTTCCCTGCATGTGGGTCTCCCCATGGGGCAGCTTACTTCATCAAAGGCTGCAAGGGAGTCATTAGAGTCTGCTAGGAAGATAGCAGTTATAATCATATGCAACATAGTTACAGAAGTGACATACAATCACCTTGGCCATTTTCTATTAGAAGTGAGTTACAGGTCCTGTTCATACTCAGGAGGTGGAAGTTACACAAGGGTGTGAATACCAGGAGGCAGGGATCATTGCAGGCCATCCCAGAGTTTATCTGCCACAGATAAACATGGCATCCAGTTCATTGTTCTCCAATGGCTCTTGGCTTTACCGTCTACATCTTTCACTTTGCATTGCCCTCCTTGAGCACTTCTGAAGAGGGCATTGGAAAATGTGCCTTCTGAATGACTTCGTTGGCCTGCTTCCTGTCCAAAGAAATTTGTGGGCTCAGAGTCTTTTTATATTTAGGCTCTTTTAATCTAGGTTGATGTCCCTTTTGTTAGCATAGCTCCCTAAAAAGTTCTATGGATCTTCTTTTTTTTTTTTAAAGATTTTATTTATTTATGAGAGAGAGAGAGAGGCAGAGACACAGAGAAGAAGCGGGCTCCATGCAGGAAGCCTGATGTGGGACTCGATCCTGGGACTCCAGGATCACACCCTGGGCCAAAGGCAGGCACCAAACTGCTGAGCCACCTAGGTATCCCCTCTGTGGTTCTTCTGTGTCTGATTTGAATCGATTCTACACCAAAAGCCATACCCAATCATTTTGAGATCTTGCTTGCTCTCTGGGCTTAATCACTGATACTTTAGGTATCAAGCTACAATGAGACAAGAATCTTATGTGTCCTGGAAGTCATTTTAATCAACTGGAAGAGCCTATTAGAATAGGCCTTGATTCGTTCAGAGGTCTTTTTTTAAAAAGATTCTAAAGCTTTCATTCATTTATTCATAAGAGACACAGAGAGGCAGAAGGAGAAGGCAGGTTCCCTGCTAGGAGCCTGATGTGGGACTCAATACCAGAGCCCCTGGGATCATGACCTGAGTCAAAGGCAGACACTCAACCACTGAGCCACCCAGGTGCCCCTTATGAGAGATTCTGAAGCAGAGGACTTGAGGAGCCAGGTAAACCATACCCAGATTCTTGACCCTACAGAAACTGAGATGATACATGGGTGTTATTCTAACCCACTAAGTTTGTGGTGATAGTGGTAGTTATTTATTGTTATGTGGCAATAGATTATTCATATCCTGAAGAAACTGGACCTTAATCACAAACCATTTCCCATCTCTAGAGCAGGGAGACCTGTGCATACATTCCCGGTGGGATTTTAGAACTGCTATAAGCAAGTGATTGCTATACGCTTTCATTCTTACACTTTCCAAATGATGGTGCTTTTGCAATGATCTTGTCCTTGTTTTCACCCATTTGTGTTGACTACATTAGAGATAAATAATTTGATTTTTTGATTCATGTACCTTTGGATCAAGAGTAGGCACAAACAGAGGCGCCTGGGTGGCTCAGTCAGTTGAGCATCCAACTGTCATCTCAACTCAGGTTTTGATCTCAGGGTCATGAGTTAAGGCATTAAATACATTCAGTGTTGTGCCACCATTACCACTATCTAGAAGGTTTTTTTTTTTTTAAGATTTTATTTATTTATTCATGAGAGATACAGAGAGAGAGGCAGAGACTTAGGCAGAGAGAGAAGCAGGCTTCATGCAGGGAGCCCAATGTGGGACTTGATCCCGGGACTCTGGGGTCACGCCCTGGGCCAAAGGCAGGCGCCAAACTGCTGAGCCACCCAGGAATCCCCAGCACCTTTTTATATGCTTATTGGCCATTCAAATATACTTAATGTTTTCTGATGCTGATGTAAGGATTTTTCATTTTTCAAATGTTTATTGCCAGCTTATAGAAATGCTCTGTGGCATCATTACTAGCATATATAAGGGGATTTTTGTTTGATCTTGTATCTTCTCACCTTACTAAATTCACTTATTAGTTCTTATTAGCTCTGGTAGTATTTTGCACTAGAAGAATATGTAGGATTTTCTACATATATCATGTCATTTGTGGAAAAAAGAATGTCTTTCCTTCTTCTTTTCCAATATTTACTTCTTTTTCTTGCCTTATTGCAATGGCTAGAACATCCAGTATAATGTTGAATAGAGGTGGGAAGAGCAATCACCCTTGCCTTATTCCTGATCTTAGGAGATAGTTTTCTTTCTTCTTCTTTTTTTAAATGATAAACTGCATGTTAGATGTAGGATGTGGGGTGTGTGTGTGTGTGTGTGTGTGTGTGTGTTCATCCTCTTTGGGGTTTATTACATTTTTTGGATGTGTGGGATTCTAGTTTTCATCAAATTGAAAAAAGTTTAGCCATTGTTTCTTCAAATATTTTTGCTCTATTCCCCGGTATTTTAGTTAGGCATGTTAGACAATTTGATATTGTTCCACAGGTCATAGAATTTCTGTTTATTTTTTCCAGGCTTTTTTACCCCCATCCTTAATTTGGCTATATCTTCAAATTCATAGATTTTATTTTTCTATAGTGTCTAATCTGCTGTCAATTTCATCCAGTTAATCTTTTTTTAAAAAGATACTACATTTCTTTTACTCTAGAAGTCCATTTTTGAAATATCTTTATTCTCTTTATTATATTCATATTTCCCTGAACATTTTCAGTATATTTATAATAGCTTTAAAAAATCTTTGATAATTCCATAATCTCTGTCTTTTCTCTGTTTCTACTGACTGATTTTTCCCCTGCTAATAGGTCACATTTTCCTGTTTTTTTTTCCTCCTGTTTAGTAAACTTTTATTATATGTTGGGCATTGTTAATCCTTTATTTTTTTAAATTTTTATTTATTTATGATAGTCACACAGAGAGAGAGAGAGAAGAGGCAGAGACA